CGAGTGGCCACGTGAGCAAGACGAAGCTGACCACGCTGCTGCAAATCTCGAGCAAGGAAGTAACGCAGAGCGATGTGCTTCGTTCTGTGCTCCAGTCTGTGCTCCTGACACAAGGCAATGGCGGCCTTGTTGTCGACGTACAGCACTGGAGGAGAACGAAGCCGCTCTCCCAGGTCGGTCAGTAGGTAGGTGAGCCAGCGTAGCTCCTGTGCAGCCATGGTTGTGGCGTAGATCTCAGCCTCACAACTGGAACCGAGAACAGAGGACGAGCGTGTATACCGCCAGGAAACAGAGCCAGAGCCAAGGCTGAAGGTCTAACCCTGTGATGACCGCTGCGTAGCCAGGTCATCAACCGAAAAGGCGTCAGAGTGCCCAGTGAGGACAACATCGCCCCGTCCTCCAAGCACGAGCCCCATGCCCGATGTACTGCACAAGTAGCGCAATACCCTCTTAGCAGCATCTATGTGCACCTTTTGGTGCCTGCTAGGAGCCACGTAGCGAGCCAGAAGGCCAAGAGGGTACGCAAGGTCAGGACGAGTGCAGGTCATCAGGTACATGAGGCAGCCCACTAGCTCTGAGTAAAGACCACTCGGCTCTACGGACTCGTCAGAAGGTGGAGCTGAGAGCGAGTGACCTGTAGCCATAGGAGTGTGCTGTGGCGAGGACCAAGTGAAGCCGAAGCGCTGAAGGACCTGCTGCACCATGTATGACTGAGTCAGTGTGATGGTGCGGCGTGCTCTGTCCCGGGTGATTTGCAAGCCAAGATAATTGCACAGCTCACCCAGGTCTGTGCACGTGTGTCTCTCCTGGAGCTCCGACTTCACCAGGGCGAGAGCCTCAGTGTCAGCAGTGGCAAAGACCATGTCGTCGACGTACACGAGGATGTAGAACGGAGGCAGGGAAGTGTCGGTGCGCAGAAACAATGACGGGTCAGCAGTCGACGGAGCAAACCCAAGAGCAGCAAGTGTCGTCCTCAGTGTGTCGTGCCACTCACGTGGAGCCTGGCGGAGACCGTAGACCGGCCGCCGGAGGCTCCACTGGGTACCAGGAGGGAACGACCCAGTGAAGCCAGGAGGGCGGCGCAGCCAGATCTCCTCGTGCAGGCTGCCCTGTAAGAAAGCTGTGCTGAAGTCAAGAGAGTGAAGCTCGTAGACACGCTGAGCGGCAACGTGCAGCAGCACCCGAAGAGTGGTCATCTTCGGGGTGGGGGAGAAGTTCTGGAAGAAGTCAACTCCCTCTCGCTGACTGAAACCTCGAGCAACGTAACGAGCCTTGAAGACAGGCGAAGAACCTGGCGGCCGCTTCACCCTGAAAATCCACATGCCATCGACGATGTTCGCCCCAGGAGGGCAAACCTCGTCAACGTAAGTGCCTGTGGACTTCCAGGATGCCATCTCTGCGTCCATGGCTGTCTGCCACTGAGAGGAGTACTCACCCGCGATCGCCTCAGCGTAAGAGCGCGGGGTCGCGATGTCTGGAGCATCCGGATCTCCCTTGGGGGCAAGCAGCATGGACACGAGATGAGGCGCAGCGGCTGCAAGACACTCAAGGTCCTCCTGCCTGTCCTCAAGGATGTCCGTGCCAAGAGCACACTCACCCCCGACGGACGGAGGACTGACAGACTCAGACTCAGCAACAAGACTAGCGGGGACAGCCGGCGGACGCTTACGAGGAACACCTGTCAGCTCAGTGTAAGGAGAAGGAGCAAGCAGCGGTGAGCCAGGCTGTAACGGAAGAACAGTAGAAGACGGGAGGCTAAGAACCTGGCGAAGCACGGAGCCAGGCGGTGGCAGAGACAAAGGTGACGGCGGAGCGAAGAACAGTCGCGGCGGCGCAGCGCCACCAGCACCAGTAGCTCCAGCACCTCCTGCAGCTCCAGAACCTCCAGCGCCAGCACCCGCAGCAGCCCCAGAACCTCCAGCTCCGGCGCCACCAGCGCCAGCACCTCCAACAGCTCCAGAAGCTCCAGCTCCGGCGCCACCAGCGCCAGCACCTCCTGCAGCTCCAGAACCTCCAGCGCCAGCACCCGCAGCAGCTCCAGAACCTCCAGCTCCGGCGCCACCAGCACCATCACCTCCAACAGCTCCAGAACCTCCAGCGCCAGCACCCGCAGCAGCTCCAGAACCTCCAGCTCCGGCGCCACCAGCGTCAGCACCTCCAACAGCTCCAGAACCTCCAGCGCCAGCACCCGCAGCAGCTCCAGAACCTCCAGCTCCAGCGCCACCAGCGCCAGCACCTCCAACAGCTCCAGATTCTCTAGCGCCAGCACCCGCAGCAGGGCCCCTAGTTCCAGCAGCGCGACTCTGACGGCTAACGTACCACTCACGCAGCTGCTATGGGGAGAGAGGGACAGTGCCGGCTCCAGTACCTCCAACACCAGCGCCTCCCGCAGCAGGGCCCCCAGCTGCAGCAGCTCGACCCTGACGGCCAACGTACCACTCACGCAGCTGCTGTGGGGAGAGAGGGAGACGACGACGAGAGTGCAGCGGCGAGGAACCAGCAGAGCGACTACGGAGACGGCCGCTCCAGGGAGACTGCTCACCAGACGCCGCAGCGACCCCAGGTGCAGCACCCCCAGACTCAGCACCCCCAGGCTCAGCACCCCCAGACTCAGCACCTCCAGGCTCCGCACCCCCAGGACCAGCACCCCCAGGCTCGGTACCCCCAGGCTCAGCACCCCCAGAAGCAGCACCCCGAGCAGGACCACCCTCAGCAGGACCTGAGTCACCAGTGACCTCAACCGGCACAGTCAAGGGAGGAGGGTCTACCTGAGACACACCTGAACGAGCAGGACCGGGAGCGAAGAGGGGGGCTACCTGGGGGGCACCTGGAGCGAGGAAGAGCGGCGGGGGGGGAAGAGGGGCAGTGCGGTAGGGGAAGAGACGGTAAATGGGAACCGACTCGTCGAACGTGACGTCCTGAGAGGGGAAGACACGGCGCGAGGTGGGGTGGTAAAACTGCCAACTAGGCGCGTCAGGGACAAAGCCAAGGAAGACATAGGGAACAGCGCGGGCGGAGAGCATGTCCGCGGTGGTATCGTGGACAAAGGCACGAGAACCCCAGACCCGGAACACCGACGCATCGCCAACCTCCCCCGTCCACCGCAGTGTGGGCGAGGTCTCCGGCAAGGAGACACGGGGCCAGAGGTTGAGCTGATGCGCGGCGTACCGGACCGCAAACGACCACAGAAAATGGGGGGCAGCCGCATGGACCATGGAGGTACGAGCGACCTCCATGACCAAGCCAATGCGGCGCTCAGCAACCCCATTCTGCTACGGAGAGGCCGGAAGCGTGAACGTCTGGGGAATGCCCTCCCCACGACAAAAGCTCTGCAGAAGGTCGGAGGAAAACTCCCCACCTCTGTCAGAGTGCAGACGCAAGACGGGAAACTCCGTCCCGAACCGCTCGCGGAGCTGGAGACGGGCAGCGCGGATCCAAGGGATCAAAACATCAGGGACCTCACCCTTGGTGCGCAAGGGGAAGACCGTGGTGTAACGCGAGTAGTCTTCAACAACCAGCAGGAAGTACCGCTCGCGGTCCTGCCCACTGACGCGGGCTGGGCCCGACACGTCCATGTGCAGGGTCTGCATGGGAGCAGTCGTCGGGGGAAACGAGGAGGAGTGAGGAGCGGCGCGCTGCCGCCCCTCGACACAGGGAAGACAAGGAGGAGCAGTCGAGGGAGGGAGGGGAGGGAGAACCCTGGGAAGACCAGAGACAAGGACACGGCGGTGCATGCTACGAAGGCGCTGCACCGAGGGGTGACCAAGACGGTGGTGCCAAAGGAGGGTCTGGTGCGACAAAGCGCGACACGAGCAGGGGGCCGCTAGCTGACCTGACGCAGACGCGGACGCATCGACCTGAGGGGACACAGTAGTCAGTGTGTACAGACTCGAGCCAGGCGCACGGGTAAACGTGGCCAGGTGCCGGCCCGTCTGGGAGCACGTACAGTGGGTCACGCGCTGACCTCCAGGAGTGAACTGGTCAACCCACTGGTCCTGGAGGTTAGCACCACTCACCAAGTTCGTAGAGAACGAGGGGAGGTGAAGACCTGACAGGGAGCTAGACGGGACCGCCGGACACGGCAGGACCGTGGAGGAGTGCGCAAGGACTGGACCCCCAGAGGGGTCTGCCAGGGAGACTGCAACCGGCCGACTGAGCTGCGTGAGGGTGGTGCTGTCGCGAAAGAAGGAGCGGGAAGCACCTGAGTTAAATGTGAAGGTGTACAAGGCCTTAGCAGGCCCAGTACCAAAGAGAGCAGACTCACCAGTACCTGGAGCAGCAGCCTCACCAGCACCTAGAGCAGGAGACGCACTAGAACCTAGAGCAGCAGCCTCACCAGTACCTAGAGCAGGAGACGCACTAGCACCCAGGGCAGCAGCCTCACCAGTACCTAGAGCAGCAAGCTCTATACCTGGGTCAGGCGGTACGCACAGGTAACAGGCGCCGTCAGCACAAGTAGGCAATGCATACATGGCAGTGAGAATAGCATCATAGTCAAGAGCAAAGATGTCTACCCTCTGCCTAAGCAGCTCCAGCCAGGTGGGGAGCTCAGCCTCGTCGCCAAACTCGGTATGCCAGGCGTCGCCAAACTCGGTACGCCAGTTTTGCTAGTACATCAATATTTGTTTGTTGTAATACAAGTTGACCGTTTCCCTTTTCTGCGACAGCTTAATTGGAGAGTAGTTATATTAAAATGCTGCAGTGGATAACGAGCTACAGTAAAATGAACAGAACTATCAGGCTGGTATGAAAACGACGCTCCTAAAAGTCCCTAAAACTAAGCCGGACATCCTTGTCTTTGCCTCTTCCCCTTCCCCTCCCTCTCCCTCGCCCACCTCTTTCCCTTCCCCTCCCACGCCCCCTCCCTCTCCACCCGTAAAACACTCGGCCATGCTTCATCTCCAACAGAGACAGTAACAACTCATCGCACAACACACACCCCCGATGCACTGTAGCACCGCCTGGTAACGACGAGGCATCTTTGTGAAAATCCACTTCAATTATCCGGGTAGACCGCATTCAGAGCACCAACCACCCTCCTTCTCACCCTCCTGCCCCTGCTTCCCCTGCTGCTGCGCTTTTAGCAAAGAGCCGGAAGCACCAAACGCAAACATGGGCACCACTGCCATGCGGTGCACATTGGCTTTTATGAAAACAACGCAGCTGCAGCGGTTGCAATCTAAGCGCCACTTAGGGGTGCTTACAGGATCCAGGACAAGAGTCCCCTCACACTCCGGGCAGGGACACACGCCCATGCTCACCAGCGAATGGCGGCACGACACGTGTCCGCAGCTCGTGCAGGCCATGCCAGTGAACACTGACGAGCCTGTCCTGGATGAGGCTTGGGAAGTAGGTTCGGAAGGAGACTCGGCAGCAGGTTTAGAGGAGGAGGAAGTGGTGCTGGCAGCAGGGGTGATTGGTTTTCCCAGGTCCTCAAAAGGAGGATGGTTATAGCAGTATGGGCAGAGAGGAAAAGTTTTGCCCTCGGGCCCCGGCAGAGAGTAAATAACAAGCTCATAGTTGTCGAGCGGGCAGGTGAGCTCCTTGTAGAGCTGCACGGAAAGAAAAAGAAACAAGGAGCGTAACGGTTTGATAAAAGTGGTAAATTTGAAAGCCTGATATGATGAGTGAGGGACACGTGACTACGCCTTTCCCCTCCCATTCACCGGCTGCCACTCATCTTGACAGCGCCGTTCTTTACACGTCGGCAAGAAGGCTTTCTGGGTTTAAATGGGGTTACCTGATATCTCTGTCACTCCACTCTTTGCCTGACAGTGACGCACCCCTCACCTTGCTGGCACCGTTCTGAGGCAGGTTTACCGCATTCACCCGGATACTAGACCTCCCTGAATAAGGGCCCCCGGGTCCACACTACGGGTAGGGGGCTTATATCTGGGTCGTCTGAGGATGAGACCCCCCTAGGGATGACGGGCATAGACCTCCCTTTTTCCACTTGTTTCCCTTCGTTCCCTAAATCGCGCGCACCTAACCAGCACAGTGACAACCCAACCCACACACCCGTCAAGTGACGGTGCTATGAAGATTGCCTTTATGCGAGGTAAACTTGCCTCATTTGTACGCGTCTCGTTTTATCGGCACAGACAATCTTCCAAACTTGGGTATTCTACAATAATAGGTGAAAACAAGTTATGACCCGAGTCCTGTAAAATGTAGTCTTGGGTTAAGCCTCCCCTCCGTTCTTGGGGGATGACAGCATTAAACCCCCAGGTCTAGTATCCGGGCGAATACTGTAAGATGTCTTTACACGTGGGCAGAACAGTTTTGTGGGGTAATCTAATACCTCTGCCACTCCCTTCCCTGCCGGACAGGCCCTCCATCACCTTGGATAACGCCGTTCTGAGGCAGGTTTGAGATGTCTTCGCATGTGGGGCAGAACAACCGGGTGAGTTTCAGCGGCAAGCGCATGAACCGCCCACACTTGCCACAGCGGCCCATGCACTTGCGTTCTTGCTAATTGTACTCCCCTCACCTTAATAGCGCCGTTCTGAGGCAGGTTGAAGATGTCTTCACACGTGGGGCAGAAGAGTCGTGTTGTCTTCAGCGGCACGAAGCAACCCATGGTGCTACCTGTGTAAAATCTGCTAACCATACCTACTCACCATGATAGCACCATTCTGGGGGAGGTTGAAGATGTCTACACACGTGGGGCAGAAGAGTCTCGTCGGTTTCAGCGGCACGAAGCGCATGAACCGCCCACACTTGCCGCAGCGACCCATGGGCTTGCGGCTTGGCTTCTTGCTACTCCTCTCACCTTGATAGCACCTTTCTGCGGCAGGTTGAAGATGTCTTCACAGGTCGAGCAGAAGAGCCGTGTGGGTTTCAATGGCACGAAGCGCCTATCGGGTTACCTCATGTCTCTGCTACTCTTCTCGTTGCCTGATAGTGACACTTACTCACCTTGATAGCACCGTTTTGAGGCAGGTTGAAAATGTCTTCACACGTGGGTCAGAAGAGCCATGTTGCTTCAGCGGCACGAAGCAACCCATGGGGTTACTTGATATATCTGCCTCACATTTCCGATCGACTCCAAGGTTACCTTGATGGCACCGTTCTGAGGCAGGTTGAAAATGTCTTCACACGTGGGGCAGAACAGCCGTGTTGGCTTCAGCGGCATGAAGCGCATGAACCGCCCACACTTGCCACAGTGACCCATAAGCTTGCCCGGTGCCTATGCCCCTTCCCTCACCTTGATAGCGCCATTCTGAGGCAGGTTGAAGATGTCTTCACAAGTGGGGCAGAGGAGCCGTGTTGGTTTCAGCGGCACGAAGGGCATGAACCGCCCGCACTTGCCGCAGCGACCCATGGGCTTGCCAGAGGCGGCGAGAGGGGAGAAGTGGGCTTCAAAGAGGGAGTCCATGCGAGCGATCTGACAGGGAAGGGGAAGAACGGGGGCAGCACAGAGGGGATTGTGGTGAGTTTGGACGAGTGCGCTGGGCTTCAAAGGGCTCTTGCCGCAGCGACCCATGGGCTTACCTGAGTAGGTGAGAGGGGAGAAATGCGCCTCAAAGAGGGAGTCCATGCGTGCGATCTGACAGTGAAGGGGAGCAGAGGAAAACGAAGGAAATTTAATAATCACGCGGAGACATTGCATTGCTTGCACTTGCCGCAGCGACTCATGGGCTTGCCAGAGGCAGCGAGAGGGGAGAAGTGCGCCTCAAAGAGCGAATCCATGCGCGCAATCCGGAAGAGTGTGGGAGGAGAGGTGGCATTGGAAAAGAATCATGATGTTGGGTTTGTCAACGGGAGTTGTGTGTTGGCCCCGTCCTCGCTTGAGCGGAGCCGACTTCGTGGTCGGGTGTGAAGGGAGCAGCCAACCTGCAGCAGTGGGCGAGCTGGTTGACGAGGAGGTCGACCTGCATGGAGACCACTGTACGGGCGCCGACTTCAGGGTGGCGCCGACTTCAGGGAGGTCGACCTGGGAAGTCAACCTGCGGAGGACGTCAACTTGGTGACGTCAACTTGGGGCAGCCGACTCGGGTGGTCGGCTGACAGGGCTTCTGGTCGACCTGGTTGGTCGACCAGGCCTGCTAGTCGACTTGGTGGTTGGTCGACCAGGCGTGTGGTCGACCTGGTGGTCGACCGGACCTGGTGGTCGACGAAGGAGGGGCCGACGTCGACCTCGACTCAGGACGCCGAGCAGTTGGGCGTCCAGTAGCTGGGCGTCAACTTCATGACGCCGACTTTGGTTAGCCGACTTGAGTGGTCGGCCGACAACTGCGCTGGTCGACATGAAGCTGGTCAACCAGAAGTGACGTCGACCTGGAGCTGGTCGACCAGGGGTGTGGTCGACCTGGTGAGGTCGACGTGGAGGTGGTCGTCGACTTGGGAGGTCGACGGGCACGTACAGGAGCAGCTGGTCGACGTGGTTGTCAAGTCGACCAGGTTACCTGGGTGACGAACTTCTGCGAAGGAGTACGACGGTCGCCCAGGCGAAGTTGGCGAGCCCGACCTCGGTGGTGGTATCCCGAGGTCGACATGGCGGATCAGGTGGAGTCGTCAGCACGAGGATGACTTGGTGTGTGCGTTGTGCAGGTGACGAGGCTCAGCCCACCAATCATCTGCGAACACCTCCGAAGCGGGTGCGCTGCTGTTCTGCGTGAGCAGCGCTGGCACGCCGTCAACCTGCAACGTTGGCACGTCGTCGACTTTGCACTGCTGGAGCGCGGTCGACCAAGTCGTGCTGGAACGCGGTCGACCATGCTTTGCTGGCAGTCGATCGACCTGAATGCTAGCTCTGATGTAGTCTAGCCATGCCAACCTCATTGTACCATTGTTGTCAACTTTCTTTAGTGAAACTCATGCCAATTCTCCCTGTGAACTAGCAAGCTGTGTGTGCACTAGGAAACGACTAAGGACCAACGAACGCTGAGATCACACGAGCGCCCTTGCCTAGCCCGTAGTCTAACTCCCGTTGTAGTAGTTATCTCCGCAGGGTTGTGTGGTGCGGACTCATTCAACACTTGCCGCAGCGACTCATGGGCTTTCCAGAGGCAGCAAGAGGGGAGAGGTGCGCGTCAAAGAGGAAGTCCGCGAGCAATTCAGAAAAACAAAAGGAAGAATGGGACAGCGAAAGGGGGAATAGAGAACATTCCGGACACAAGTCCATGAGCAATTGCTGCAGGGGCCTAAGGGCTCATTGACTTGCCTCCGCATTGCTCCACTCTTGGACCCAAGGGGTTGCTGGAGGAGGCACCGTTTGTACTCTCACGTGAACAACCATCGTCTCACCCACACACCTGACTGACAAAGTACTTGAACTTTTCGGAAAACTGCTGGAGCACGCGAGTCACCAGCCTGGAGCACGCGAGTCATTAGCCTGGAGCACGCAAGTCACCACCCTGGAGCAACCTTGTATATTTATCTCCCATCTCGTACCATACCCAACCGAACAACCATCACGCACACCTGTCTGAAAAGGTATCTGAATTTCTGTAGGAACTGCTGCAGCACAAGAGTGACCACCCTGCCATGGTCCGCCTTGCCCTCTCTGAGTTAACACGTCTCATAATCCATTCACAAGATACTCAACCGGATAACTGTTGTCTTTTGAGGTGCCTCAAAAACCGGATAACCGTCGTCTCACCCACACACCTGGCAGAGTACCTCAACTTTTTAAGGAATTTCTGCAGCGCGAACGTCACCACCCTGCCAATGCCAAGGTGCATAGGTCAGCCAACTCACATCAGCATACTCACCTGGCCCTGGCTGATACAGCACACACCTGGCTGACAAAGTATTTGAACTTTTCAAAAAACTGCTGCAGCACGAGGGTCACCACCCTGCCGTGGTCCGCCTTGCCCTGCGCGATCAGCGTGATCTGCTGCTCTATGAACCGTCGGATGTCCGGCAAGCAAAGGTCCGGATCGATCTGCTAGTACCCGCGCACGAGCGTGGTGCCGAGGGTGGTGGGTACAATCTTGCGACCTGGGGCCACCTGGTGGAGATGGGTGATAGAGGGGAGAAGAGGAAGAATTGAAAGAATGGAGGTGTTGGTACGTGCTGCACACGGGTGTGGTACCCAGGGTGGTGGGCACAGTCTTACAGCCAGGCGATACCTGCTGGAGGGGAGAGGGAGAGGGGAAGAAGGAGAAGAAAATGTTCTCCTTGTGTGTGTGTGGGTACGATCCCGTGCTCAAGAGTGGTACCCAGGTGGTGGGCACAGACTTACGGCCAGGCCATGCGCAACCTAGTGGAAAGGAGGGAGAGTGGAGAGAATGGAGTGGGTGGGATTTGGGATGAGGGGGTGATGGGAACAATACGATTGTCGGCAGACGCAAGTGGAGAAGGTGTGGTTGGGGGTGGCGCTCGTGCAGCTGCTGGGGTCCAACCAAGAAGCGCCACAAGAACCAGATTGTCCGCCTCACCACCAAGGTCTGTCGTGGAAGCACCTCTCACTGCCCCCAAGGTGGGAGTGAGATGTGGGGGCAGGGAGAGGTGCTTTTACGACAGACCTTGGTGGTGAGGCGAGCAATCTGGACCTCGTGGCGCACGAGCGCCACCCCCAACCGCACCTTCTCCACTTGTGCTCGCAGATTTTGGTGATAGCAACAACTATGCTATGCCTGTGCACGGAAATGGACGCTTCCGTGCCATTGCTACTATCCCAACCGCCCCTCTCCCACCCTCTCCCACCCTCTCCCCCCATCTCGTCCCCTCGCCCCTCCTCCCCGCTCCCCCCAACCCCTCCCTACCTGAGCATAGTTCCGTTCACAGATGTCGATGATGTGCACGGGGATGGACGCATCAGTGCCGAAGGGGGTGTTGATTCGACTAAAGACACACCCCAGTGTCCCCCACACCCTCCCCACCTCTCCAATCTCGTATCGTACCTGAGCATAGTTCCGTTCACAGATGTTGTTGATGTGCACGGGGATGGAAGCGTCTGTGCCGATGCCGTGTCGCTCCATCAGCCCAATCAGCTCACTTTCGGTTAGATAGTCAGGGGGGGATGTGCGGCCCTGTTTATAGGGAGTAAGAAGGGGTTCAGAGCGGTGGAGTGGAGGTGGTGGTGAAAAGGCAGAACGGGTCTGTGCCGATGCCGTGTCGTTCCATCAGCCCGATCAGCTTGATCTCCGTTAGGTAGTCCGGGGGAGAGGTACGGCCCTGAGGAATTGTGAGGGGTTCAGATCGGTGGAGTAGGTGAAACGGGCAGGGGCACACTGAGGGGTTTAGAGTGGTAGAGAGGCCAGTTACACTGTCACAGTGCCATGCCGCTCCATCAGCCCAATCAGCTCATGCTCAGTCAGATAGTCCTGGGGGGACGTGCGGCCCTGAAGATAGAGGGTGGTACAAGGCCACACAGAGCGGGTGTCAGATGGACGGAAGGTGGTCTGCCTTGAATTCACAGCCCGATCAGCTCTCTCTCTGTTAGATAGTCTTGTGGGGGGAGGGGGGGAGGGAGAGTGGGTGGGTGGGGGGGGGGGGGCATTGACTTTTGAGGCGACTCAAGAGTACGGGGGGGAGGCAGCGAGGCGCAGCCCGGATGATTCGTATTTGAAGCTCAGCTCCGCACATGAATGCGTACAGGGGGGAACGGTACCTCACCAATGCGTTTGATCGAGTCACTCTTAAGATCTTTCATAAGAACCTCACCAATGCGTTCACAACAACCCCCCCCTCCTTTCACGGAGTTTTTGAGAATTCTCAAAAACTCCCTGCCACGTTTGATCGAGTCACTCACGCATGTAGTGAGTCGAGTTTTGATTTGACTCAAAACAAGAACTTCAAAAGAACCTCACCAATGCGTTCACAAGTTCTGAATCACAACACCCCCCCCCATCCTTTCACCTCGCACAGCTTTACTGCGCTCAGTGCAATGATCCCCCCCTGTGCAAAGGCTGGAAGGCCCTCGTCCCCCACATAACAAGCCATGAAAGGCGGCACCTGCCCTCACCCCATAGAGCTCAACTGAACTCATCATCATCTCCCACGGCCAGCCACGGCATGACTGCAGTGATCTTGCGGCCAGCCAGCCACGGCATGACCGCTGGCAGTGCAGGGCAGCAGCAAAGGGGATCGCCTGGGTTGACCGGTAACACCTCACCTCTTACAGCCTGAAAGGACATCCACCGCCCCTTACCGCACCTCACCTCATAGAGCTCCACTGCACTCAGCGCAACGCTCTCCCCCTGCACGAAGGCTGGAAGGCCCTCGTCCCCCACCGCCAGCCACGGCATGACTGCAGTGAATCCCGCGGATAGCAGCTTTCGTCCCGATGCTGAGAAGTGCTCCCCAGCCACTGAGAAGGTGACACGTGTCCTGGTGGGGAGGAGGAGGGGGCAGGAGGAAGGGTAAGTGACGAAGAGGGGAAGCCCAAAGATGGAGGAAGAGGGAAGGAGGGAAGAGAAAAGAGAGGAGAGAAGGTTGAAAAGAGCGAAGGGAGGGAGAACAAGAGGGAAACTGAGAAATCAAACAAGCGAAGAGGGGAAAAATAAAACAAAAGGAAGAGAAAAGTAATTTCTATCCCAAGCTCCAAGAATTTCCGCACAATCCCGCGACTTGATCTCAAACATACTCACGTTGCGATCCTGCAATCCAGGCTGACGCTCCCTACGAAGCGCCTCTTTACAAGGTCATACAAGAGTCCCCCACGCATCCCTACACTTGATGTCCCGCCCCCTCCTTTCTCTTGACACCCAACGCTCACCTTGCAATCCGGCAGTCAGGGCTGAAGCTTCCTATGAAGTGCCTCGTTACAAGGTCATACAGCCGCCACGCGTCCCCGCCGCCCAGCTCCCCCTCGTCTGCAGCACGCATGGGCGTGATGGGCGGGTGGTCTCCCTCGTCTTTTCCCGCCCTGGGCGGCGAGGGCCCGAGCTGCAGGAGTGATTGCACGTACTCCCCCCATATGGGGTGCCGTGACTGTATCGAAAGGGCTTCTTTATAGTCAAAGGAGGAGGGATAGGCTGTTGACTCCGTGCGAGGGTAGCTGGAAAGGGGAGGGGAGAGGGACGTGGGCAGATGGGCAGAGAAAGGGGACAGAGGATGAGGGGCAAAGGGGTTAGTTGGTATGAGAGTGCACGTAAACCCCCTAATATGGGATGGCGTGACGGTATCGAAACGGCATCTTTATAGTCAAAGGAGGAGGTGTAGGGAGTGGATTCAGTGCGAGGGTAGCTGGGAACCTAGTGGGGAGGGGGGAAAGGGGACAATGGCGAAGAGGAAAGAGAAGGTGAAGTTGGAATGCAATGACACTATTTGTAAGGCGCCTCAGAAGTTGCGATGCAAAGGATTTCTTTCAAGAATTCTCAAAGAACACCTGCCATCCAAAGGAAAGAGGCAGTGCGTCTGCTGGTGGTGCATGCGGAGCAGCGGGAGGAGGCAGTGCTCCGCATGCACTACCAAGTGACGCACTGCTTCTTTTCGCTGCTCCGCATACACCACCAGTTGACGCACTGCCTCCTCCCGTTGCTCCGCAAGCACCACCAGCTGACGCACTGCATCTTTCCGCTGCTCCGCATGCACAACCTTCTAATGCATTGCCTCTTTCCGCTGCTCCGCATGCACAACCTTCTGATGCATTGCCTCTTTCCGCTGCTCCGCATGCACAACCAGCTGACACACTACCTCTGTTCGCTGCTTCGCATGAACCACCAACTGACGCACTGCTTCCTTACGTTGCTTCGCACACACCACCAGCTGAGGCATTGCCTCGTTCCGCTCCTTCTCACACTCCCTCCCCTTCTCACCTGATGTAACCTTGAGTGCAAAGTCTCTCAGCGATCTGCATGGCGTGGTGCGGCCCCATGCCCAGCCCACTGGCAGCAGCTTTCAGCATCTCCACCGTGTTCAGCCCTGTAGGTCGCCCCTTCCTCTCCTCCTTCATTGCAACACTCTTCACAACCGCAGCATCGCCTGCCGCCACATCCCTCTGAAAGAACTCTGCAACCTGCCAGTGAGTGGGATGGGGAGGAGAGGAGAGGGTAAGGGAAATGGTGAGTGTTCAACCCTGTAGGTTGCCAGTTCCTCTCCTCCATTGCAACACTCTTCACAACTGCTGCCCCCGCCGCTGCAACATCCATCTGAAAAAACTCTGCAACCTGGCAGCAAGAGAAAGAGGGGAAACAGGAGAGTGTTCAGCCCTATGAGCCGCCCCTTCCTCTCCTCCTTCCCTACAACGCTCGTCACAATGGCAGTGCTGCCTGCTCAGCTGCCACATCCCTCTCAAAGAACTCTGCAACCTGGCAGCAAGCCGAGAGGGGAAAGGGGGGAGGAGGGAGGGTGCGGCAACCTTCGAAAGAACTCTGAAAGAACTCCGCAAAATCACTTCCTCTCTCCCCTCCTTACACCCCCCCTCCCTCCCCCCCAGAACCAGACCTCATCTCCTGGTCGAAGAGCCTACCTTTGAGTCGACTTAGAAACAGCCCCCCTCCTCTCACCTCCGTGTCGAACAGCCGTCCCCGAGCAAGCCCATTGCAGCGCCAGCTGGCGGCCGTCCCTGTTTCAGTTAACAGCCCACCCTTAGCTCCCCCTCCATTCCCCCTCTTCCCTCACTCCTCAACCCCTACTCTTTTCCCACTCCTCCTCCTCCACTCACCTTCTTGTCAAAGAGTCGCCCCCCAGCAAGCCCACTGCAGAGTTGACTTTTGAGTCGACTCAAGAGTCAAGACTCAGAAGTCAACTCTCGTCCTTCTCCACTCACCTCCGTGTCGAACAGCCGCCCCCAAAAAGGCCCACTGCAGTGCCAGCTGGTGGCCGCTCCTGAAGCAGACCCCCCTCCCTTTCTCTCACCACCCCCCCCGCACTGCTATACTACACCCACCCGCACTCCCCCCCACGCCTCCTCTCACCTCCTTGTCGAACAGCCGTCCACGAGCCCACTGCAGGGCCAGCTGGTGGCTATCACTGAAGCACATCTCACTTCCTCTCCTGTACCCCCCACTCTCACCTCCCTACACCCCCCCACCCCCATCTTCCCCTCCTCTCACCTCCTTGTCGAACAGCCGCCCCCGAGCCCACTGCAGTGCCAGCTGGCGGCCGTCGCGCACGACAATTGGCCGCACCGCCCAGAAGGGCTCCGAGACAAACGACGTGATGCGCTGATGGCGGGCCACACAGAAGCCGAGCGTGGGCGTCTGGCACGGGCCATACCTGCACGGGGGGGGGTCAGTGCAGGCATGGGGGCAGGAAAGGGGAGAGGGGGTTGTGATAGGATATTGAAACATCATAATGACGTGACGCGCTGGTGGTGCACCACACAGAAGCCGAGCGTGGGCGTCTGGCACAGACTGCACCTGCACGGGAGGTTTATACAGAGTGTGTGTGGGGGGATGGAGGGGGACATACGACAGAGGGAACCAGAACAGTAAGACGATGCACTGAAACACGGAAGGAACTCATTTGAGGAGACAGAACGAGCCAAAGTCCTCATATAAAGCCACTCACGAGATGAGCGACGAGTCGAGGTTGCCGTATTTCCCTTGGAAGAAGCGCGTCTGGAACCGCGTGAACGCCACGCCCACTTTCAGGTCGATCTCCTGCCGTGCGTCCACTGCCTTGGCCTCCGCCTCGTTGGGCGCCCCCAGTCGAGCCATCGCCTGCCGAATGTCCTTCTCGCCTATCGCTGAGAATTTAGCTCGAAAGACGTTCTGAGGTGACCTCATGCTGGGCTGTGTGTGCGCCATCACTGGTGGTGGTTGGGGGGCGACAGGAGATTTTGGGCCGGGAGTGGGAGGAGGAAACAAGAGGGTTTGCAGACGAAACTTGCATATATTGGTTAAAGCTCGATCTCCTGCCTCGCATCCACTGCCTTGGCCTCCGCCTCATTGGGCACCCCCAGTCGAGCCATCGCCTGCCGAATGTCCTTCTCTCCAATTGCAGAAAGTTTCGCCCGATAGACGTTTTGAGGCGACTTCATGCTAGGCTGAGTGTGGGACATCATGGGTGGACGGTTGGGATTTGAGCATCATTCAGACGGGAGGAGTGAGGCGAACAAGACATCTCCGTCTCCCCTATTGTCGAGAACCTTGCCCGGAAGTCATTTTGGAATCACTATTTAGAATGCTCAAAGGTAATCTCGACCTCATTCTGAAATACTCGATTTGTTTCAAAACTTCACCCCACCCTCCCTCTAATCGAAGCAGGTGTTCCCGCCCTCCTTGAGGCAGTCCAGCAAGAGCATCTGGTTTTGAGACGTCTCAAATCTGCCAGCCACAAAGAGCATCTCGCCCTGAGCAAGAGCATGAGAGCATGAGAGGGCACGTGTTCGAACGTGATGCCACCTAGAAACATGTGAAAGAACATTTTCTTTACCCTACCCACCTTCAAAGCAGATGTTCTCCCCTTCTCTGTCGCAGTCGAGCCACAGCACAAGGGCATCACACCCCTTGGCCTCCGTCTGTAGGTGCTTGCACACATGCGCCTGCACGGCAACGCACAGCACCGCTCAAGAACGCAGAGCACCGGAAAGAAACACGCAGCAGAGAGTCAGTGCGGGGATTATTGCATGAAGAAGCACAGAACGAGAACAATTAAGAAGGAAAGTGCGATGACAGGGTCAAGGAAATAGACCCACCAACTTAAGAAACGCACTGTGACACACACAAACTACCCTTAGGAACGCACTTTATTAACCCATACCAGATAATTCGAACATACCTTGTCAAGGTTTTGAAACGCACTGCACCTTGACTCTAGGCTCGAGATTCACCGCACCTTGAATCTGGGTTCAGGTAAAGGTGCCACACCTAGAGTTGGATTCCGTCTTGGCTGTGGTGGCGGCAGTGAAGGGACCAGTTTTGAGGTGTACCGTACCTTGGGGATGGGTTTAGGTTCAGCTCGGCACTACAGTGCTCGCACCTTGGGGTTGAAATCCGTCTTGACGGTAATGGCAGTGAAGAGTGAGTTTTTCAGGTGGGGGCCTGCCATACCTTGGGGTTAGCTTGGCTTAGGCTCGGGCAGGCACTACAGTGGGTTTAACCTTGCAGTTGGATTTCGTCTTGACGGTGGGCGGAATGAAGATTCTGTTGTTGAGGCGCTGTTGAGAAGACAAGCTGTTGAGTTGAGGTGTTCAGACACAGCACTGCCACTACCGCACCTTGGGGACGGATTCCGTCTTGATGGTGGCCGCAGTGAAGACACAGTTTTTCAGGCATGGAACTGCCGTACCTTGGGGTTGGCTTGGCTTAGGCTCGCCAGTGCCACACCTTCGTTAGGCTTGGTGTAGACTCGGGCGCTACAGTGGCCGCACCTTGGGGTTGGATTCTGTTTTGATGGTGGGGGCAGTGAAGAGTGATGCTGGGTCTGTGGCATCCCAGCTCTGGTAGCTGGGAGGGAAGTCAATGCTGGGGAGGGGGAAGGGGTGGGGGGAGGGAGGGGGTGGGGGAATGAGGGGCCGGGGGAAGGGAAAGGATGGGAGAAGTGGCATGACAGCACCTTGGGGTTGGACTCTGTGAATCGGTTTTGATGGTGGGGGCAGTGAAGAGTGATGCCGGGTCTGTGGCATCCCAGCTCTGGTAGCTGGGAGGGAAGTCTATGCTAGGGAGGGGGGGAGAAGAAAGGTCGGGGGGAGGAGTGAAAGTAGGGTGGGCGAGGGGGATGGGTGCGGCAAGGGGAAAATTCAGTCTATGGCATCCCAGATCTGGTAGCTGGCGGGAAGTCGATGCTGACAGGGGGGGGAGGGGGTGGGGGGGAAAGTGGCGTAGGGGAGAAGGAGAGGACGGGATGCTTAGGTGCACACGGTAGGGCAAGCCTAAGTCAGGGACGTCCCAAATGTGGTAACTGGGGGGGAAGTCAACGCTGGGAGGAGGTCAACGCTGGGAGGAGGTCAACGCTGGGAGGAGGTCAACGCTGGGAGGAGGTCAACGCTGGGAGGAGGTCAACGCTGGGAGGAGGTCAACGCTGGGAGGAGGTCGATGCTGGGAGAGAGAGGCCAACGCAGGGGAAACGGGTTGGAGAAGGGGAGCACATGGCTAGTGGAAACTACCTGTAGGATGATCAGAAGGCCGCTTGCGTGCGCATATTGAAGGAAACCTGTGTGCGTGCGTGGTGTTAGGAGAGAAGACTACATCAATCCCACCTGAGCACGTGGCCAATGACAGACGTGACTCTGAAGCGAGATGGTGCGTGCTTATACCATGCTATCCCTGTCTGAGTTTATCTGTGTTGCGTGCGTGTGTGACCATGTCGAGCCCACCTGAGCACGTGGCCAATGACAGACGTGACTCTAAAGCGAGCCGGGCCTCCTCGAAAGTCACCGTTGAACTCGTGCACATCCAGCCAGGAGCGACGGGAGGCCATCTGGGGGAGAGGAGGGTGAGGGGAGTGCAGGAAGGAACACAATGCCCGTGTGAATGCAGCTCGGACATGTGCGTTGTCGCCTTTGAGAGTTCTCAAAAGTCAACTCGGACATGTGCATTGTCGCCTTTGAGAGTTCTCAAAAGTCAACTCGGACATGTGCATTGTCGCCTTTGAGAGTTCTCAAAAGTCAACTCGGACATGTGCATTGTCGCCTTTGAGAGTTCTCAAAAGTCAACTCGGACATGTGCATTGTCGCCTTTGAGAGTTCTCAAAAGTCAACTCGGACATGTGCATTGTCGCCTTTGAGAGTTCTCAAAAGTCAACTCGGACATGTGCATCGTGCTGGCAGCCCAGCACAGGGGGCTGGGGCTCCTCTGAAATCACCATTGAACGACGAGAGGCCATCTGGGAGATGAGGAGGGGAGCGCAGAGAAAGAACACAAGAGCACAATGCCCCTGTGAGTACAGCTCGGGCATGTGCATTGTGCTCTTGTGCAGCACAGCACAGGGGGCTGGGGCTCCTAAGAACACAAGAGCACAATGCCCCTGTGAGTACAGCTCGGGCATGTGCATTGTGCTCTTGTGCAGCACAGCACAGGGGGCTGGGGCTCCTAAGAACACAAGAGCACAATGCCCCTGTGAGTACAGCTCGGGCATGTGCATTGTGCTCTTGTGCAGCACAGCACAGGGGGCTGGGGCTCCTAAGAACACAAGAGCACAATGCCCCTGTGAGTACAGCTCGGGCATGTGCATTGTGCTCTTGTGCAGCACAGCACAGGGGGCTGGGGCTCCTAAGAACACAAGAGCACAATGCCCCTGTGAGTACAGCTCGGGCATGTGCATTGTGCTCTTGTGCAGCACAGCACAGGGGGCTGGGGCTCCTAAGAACACAAGAGCACAATGCCCCTGTGAGTACAGCTCGGGCATGTGCATTGTGCTCTTGTGCAGCACAGCACAGCACATCCTCGAAAGGCACCGTTGAACTCGTGCACGCCCAGCCAGGAGCGACAAGAAGCCATCTGGGAGAGTGGAGGATGAAGGGAGGGGAGGAGAAGGGGGAGGCAGAGGGAGTCTGATGAATGGAGCTCGGGCATGTGCGGTGCGGTGTGCCCCAGTCCGCGCAGTGAGCAGGCTCTCCTCTGACATCAGCGTTGAACTCGTGCACGCCCAGCCAGGAGCGCCGACGAGAGGCCATCTGAGGAAGTGGAGTGGAGGGGAGGGGAGACGAGCGAGGGGAAAACGGGGGACCGTAAGGGCGAGGCATGGCATTAGACCAGGGACGTGCACGCCCAGCGGGAAGGGGGAGGGGGAGGGGACAAGAGGGGAGGGGACAAGAGGGGAGGGGACAAGAGGAGAGGCGTGAGCGGACAAGAAACACTTTTAATCAGCCAGCCAGCGACTCTGGTTCATTTCACACCTGGAGACAAGTGAATGCGACATGCAAGCATCGTCCTTTAAGTCGAATCATAACACTGCTCAATAGGATGGGGCACGTTTGTGCTCCTCCTCACCTGCCCGTGCGACATGACTTGAGCGATGGTGAGCGCGATGCTGGGCTTCTCTGCCACCTGGCAGGCGGGGATTGGACGGATTCAGGCGGATAAGGTGAGAGGGATGGGAAGGCAGTGGTGGTGAGAGTGTCTTGGGTGCGGGATGAGGCGATGAGCGGTTGCAGGGGTGAGGTGATAAGCGGTTGCAGGGGTGAGGTGATAAGCGGTTGCAGGGGTGAGGTGATAAGCGGTTGCAGGGGTGAGGTGATAAGCGGTTGCAGGGGTGAGGTGATAAGCGGTTGCAGGGGTGAGGTGATAAGCGGTTGCAGGGGTGAGGTGATAAGCGGTTGCAGGGGTGAGTTGATAAGCGGTTGCAGGGGTGAGGTGATAAGCGGTTGCAGGGGTGAGGTGATAAGCGGTTGCAGGGGTGAGGTGATAAGCGGTTGCAGGGGTGAGGTGATAAGCGGTTGCAGGGGTGAGGTGATAAGCGGTTGCAGGGGTGAGGTGATAAGCGGTTGCAGGGGTGAGGTGATAAGCGGTTGCAGGGGTGAGGTGATAAGCGGTTGCAGGGGTGAGGTGATAAGCGGTTGCAGGGGTGAGGTGATAAGCGGTTGCAGGGGTGAGGTGATAAGCGGTTGCAGGGGTGAGGTGATAAGCGGTTGCAGGGGTGAGGTGATAAGCGGTTGCAGGCGTGAGGGGTTGAGTGGAAGAGAGGTCGAGGAGATGAGGGGAAGAGGGGAGGTGTCAAGGGAGTGAGGGCGTGAGGTGGTGAGGGAATCAATGGAATGATTGGATGAGTGAACGAGAGGACAGGGGTCGCAGGTCGGCTTAAGGTGCTCAAGACGTTGGCGAAGGAGGGGAGATCGAAGGACTAGAAGACGTCTCTGAATAGATTCGGCCGTCCCGGCCAGTCTGAGTGAGGGATTCGACCGCGGCGTTCAGCTGAATCAAGGTTGCTTTTCAAACTTCTCATAAACAGCCTTGTTTAATGCACCGTTCGTACACAAAGCGAGCGAGATGGCTCGTACCATGAGAACGAGCTGCGGCGCCATCTTGTGTAAGCTCCGAAGCTTCTCAGGAAACGAGTGAGGCGACGCGTGTCGAGAGTACTACGAGTGAATGGAGTCGCGTGAGGTCTCCGGGTGAGACGAAGGCGTAAGACTACGAGTGAGCGAGGTCGCGTCGGGACTACAGTTGAGTGGGGTCGTGAGTCAGGACTACAAACGCAGCGCTCGGCTTCAAGACGTCTCAACAGCAGGACTCAAAACTAGTCAACGCCGGGCTCACGCGAAGCGCCTTCGGCGACTGTACCTCTGAGTCGACTCAAAAGTCAGGTCTACTCAGAAGGCGGCTGTACCTATGTAACATCCTAGCTGCGTATCGCGTTTCCCCCTAACTAGCACCCGAACCGCTTTCTGGTGGCTGTTTCTCGGTCGTGTGCCACGTGTCTCCACCAGGCAGCACATTTGCATGCCTGCGAATTTCTAAAATTTTACTTGTGCAAGCTTTGGTCAAAGAAATAGGGAAAAATCAGAAAGGGCCCCGGAGTAGCAGTAAGGGCGTGTAAAATCGCCGCACCTAAAAATTCGGCCACTAGCCAAATGGCCGACTTTGCGAAAGTAACCCGTTTGAGAAAAAATCGAAGACGCTAGTGACCGTCGTTAATTTCGCCAATAAAAAACGAAATTGATGGCCGTTTTGAAAGTCGACTCGTATCCGACACCATGTCGACTCCAATTCGGCCAAGTAGTCGACACCGTGAGCGACTGTCACGTATGACGTCGCACGGTCTCGCAGAGCGATTGAATTTTTTTATCCTGTCCAATCAGAGTTTTCGCCGTCAAATGTACGACCCCGTCGCACATACATTCCTACTGTAACAACTGCAAATTTTACAACTTTTTTAAACCGGCCTGAAATTCGGTCCTCAAACATGTAAAGTTTGCAAATCTGCAAATAGTGGCTGTAAAAGGACGACACGAAGTCGACCAATCCGTCGACTTTCGCGAAAGAAATGTCAACCAAATGGTCGACGTAAAACCGGCCAAAAGCAGATTTCGCAAATTTGCGGGGACTTCACACGCCCTAAAGTGGCAAACTTGGAGCCTTGTGAGTCGCGCCCCCGAACACCCCTCATCGGAACTCGGTCGTCGGAGCCGAGTCGCCTGTGTCGTCGAGGGGGGTCGTCGGAGCCGGGCCTGACGAGGCGGGCGACTGGCGTGCGTGCGGGCCCGCCAGCCTGGCCCAGGGCTGGGCCGAGCGCATGACCACCGCCCCGCAGCCCCGCTCCGAAAGTGAACAGCGACCCACGTTACCGGGTGGGGTCGACGAACTGGTGACACCTCGCGCGTGGGAAAGTTACCCTCGCGCGAAGGCAGCCCACACGTGCCACCTGCCAGCGAGGTCCTAGTAACCCATCGCGGCCTGCCCGGCGGGCAGGCGAGGGCCATGCGAAAAATCGGGGCCCCCCTCGGGACACTCGACAGTTTCGCGACCCGTTGCGGTCACGCCACGTGTTCGCCCGTGGCTTCGCGTCGCGCGCATGCGAAATTTCGGACGATGCGAAATTAAAACATCTCGCCTCGCATGCGCAAACCAACATCGCGATCCTCTATGAAATCGACACGTGTCGGCCGTGGCGACGCTCCGCGCGCATGCGAGTTGTGCGTCCCCTCGCCGACCTGGGCCAATGGACGTGAAGTCGACACTCTGCCATGGCGGAGACGGACCACCTGTGCCACTTGCGCATGCGCCCTCCGAGCCCTGCCGAGACAGGCCCCACACCCTTGGGCGATGCCGAACGGGCCTGGGTTGGGGCACCAAATCCTTTTCAACGTCCCGTGGTGTGAGGATCTAGGATCGAGCACAGAAAAGAGAATGTGAATTGAATTGAATGATCACCTGGGCACAACACGAGGCTATATATAGGCTCGACACAAGGCCCAGTAACCAGGTGTTACGCGAAGGTTCCGCGGGTCGCGAAGCGTCCCGAACAGATCCTTCCCGAATTCGGTAGAAGGCAATTCGGTGGCAACCGAAAAGCCAGAATTCGGTGCACGCAACCTAGCTCGGTGCTATAACTAAAATATAATATAGGAAAACACCTAGCCTAGGAAATCAAGAAATTCATGCATGCATATAATTATCCTATGCTAGAAATAGCATGATAAAGTAAAGGCAAGCAAGCATAGCTGGCATAAGCCGTCGTACTCTCACACATCCCCCCCTCAAAGCTGGGTGGCGTGAGATACACCCTGCTTGACAAGATAGTCCTTGAGAGCACGGCGTGCGTTGCCCATATCAGCTTCTGCAACCCAACTGTCCTCAGTGGGGTCGTATCCCTTCCAGCGTATCAGGAACTCGAGGGTCTTGCCGCCGCAGCGCCGATGAGTGAGAACGCGCTCCACTTCGTACTCTGGTTCATCCTGTATGAGAACAGGTGGTGGTGGCGGTAGCTGCCGTCCTAGGAACTGTTGGTTGGGGTCCTTGTAGGGCTTCAGTAGCTGGACATGGAAAGCGTTGTGTGTAGCTGGTAAGCGCAAGCGGAATGTAACTGGTGTCACCTGTGCCTCAACGGGAAAAGGACCACAGAAGCGAGGCGGGAGTTTGGATGGGAGGTGAGACAGGTTCAAGTTGCGCGTGTCAAGAAGCACCTGATCTCCGACTGCTACTGAGTGATCACGTCGCTGACGATCGGCATACTGCTTCTGGGAGGTCTGCATCGTGGTGAGTCGTCGCTGAGTCTTCTCCCATAGCTGCTGCATGGTGGTGACGAAATCATGTGCGGCTTGGACGTGTGCCGGTGTGGTTGGCTGCTGTGGTGTAAGTGGTTCCCGTCCGTAACACAGGAAGAAGGGAGTTTTCCCTGTGGCCGCATGTGACGCGTTGTTGTAAGCGAACTCTAGGGTCGGTAACTGTGTGTCCCAGTGGCTGATGTCGTCTTTGCAAGCTGTGCGCAGTAACTGTTCAACCACTTGATTGAGTCGCTCGGTCTGTCCGTCAGTCTGTGGGTGGTATGCTGAGGACATCGCAAGTTTAGTCCCCAATAATCCCATGAGCTCCTTCCAGAACTTACTCGTGAATTTGGGGTCTCTGTCTGAGATGAGTGTAGCGGGGATGCCGTGGATGGTGATGATGCGGTCGAAGAAAAGGCGAGCAGTTGCTTCAGCTCTAGCTGTGGCGTTGGTCGGTATGAAGTGACCCATTTTGGAGAACTTATCAATCACTACGAGGATGGAATCATGCCCCCGTGAGGTCGAAGGAAGTTCCGTGATGAAGTCGAGGCTAACGACCTGCCATGGCTGCTCCAGTATGGGTAGACCCTGCTTTTTTCTGCTTGCTGCTCTTCATCCGCTGGCACGTGTCGCAAGAGGTGACGAACTGCTGCACGTCTGCTGCCATCCCGGGCCAGTAGTAATACTTTGCTATTCCCACTAACGTCTTGTTGCTCCCGAAATGTCCCGCGTATGGTACATCGTGAAACTCCTCCAATAGGATCTGCCGTAGCGGGGCGTAATTCGGTACCCAAATCTTTCCTGAACCCTTCCTTACAGCTAAGTTATTCTCCCACTGTAACAACTTCTTGGTCTGTGCTGTAGCGATTTCTGCGTCCACGAAGTACCCATGTTGGAATAGACCCTTGAGCAGAGGGTTCATCCCGTCGAGCTGGATGCCTGCTACATGTCCGGGGCGGCTCAATGCGTCTGCCTTGTTGTGTAGCCCGGGCTTGTAGACGATGTCGTAGTGGAAGTGAGTTTCCAAGAAGTCCACCCACCGCACCTGTCGTCATGAGAGCGTCGGCTGCGACTTCAGGTATTTGAGACTGCAGTGGTCAGTATAGCCTGTAGTCTTGGCTCCGTCTAGGTAACACCTCCACGCCTTGACGGCTATGACTATCGCTAAGGCTTCCTTGTCATGGATGGGGTAGTTCAGTTCTGCTCCATGTAGCTTCTTACTGAGGTAGGCGATGGGCTGCAAATCGCGTCCGTGATCCTGCATCAGTACTGCTCCGACTGCCTGGTCACTAGCGTCTGCTTCCACCACGTAGTCCTTGTCTGGGTCCGGTAGGATGAGTACTGGCACTGTAGTTAGTGCTGTCTGTAGCTGCTCCATGGCTTGCTGATGAGGAGTATCCCATTTGTAGGGCGTATCCTTTTTCAGTAGGTCGGTCAGTGGCGCTGCTATCTTAGCATACTGCGGCATGAACCTGTTGTAGTAGTTGGCAAAGCCTAGGAACTGCTGCAACTCCTTTACGTTCTCCGGTACTTTCCACTTCTTGACGGCTTCGATCTTCCGCGGGTCCACGTGTACGCCCTCGGCACTCACCATGTGCCCGAGAAACTGCACCTTCTTCAGGGCGAAGTCGCTCTTCGACAGCTTCACGTAGAACTTGTTGTTCCGCAGGATCTCGAACACTTTCCGCAGATGCTCCACGTGCTCCTTCATGTTTTTTGAGTAGATGAGAATGTCGTCCAGGTACACCACCACGCACTCGTCCAGCAGGGGTCGTAAGACTGTTGCACCACGCAGTTGGTCCAGTAGGTCGTCTATGCGCGGTATGGGGTATTTGTTTCTAACTGTCTGTTTGTTCAGTGCACGGTAGTCGATGCACATCCGTGGACTGCCGTCTGGTTTTGGAGTGAAGAGGACTGGTGCACCGTAGGGAGAGGTGGATGGGCGGATCAGTTTTCTATCCAGTAGATACTCTATCTATTTCTTCATGTCTGTCAGCTCGGTCGGACTCAGTCGGTATGGTGCGCGTGAGACGGGTTTCGCACCTGGTTCCTCCACGATCTCGTGCTCGTGGGTGCGTGCTGGAGGTACGCCTGCGGGTAGGTCGTCAGCATTATATCCTTGTACTGTTCCAACACCTCCTTTACTACTGCAGGTTGCTCCGAACTCGGCTTCTCCTCCTCTGCTGCTGCCATAACTCGTGCGAAGTATCCCGTGTTACTCTCGTTCACAGTCCGTTCGAACCGTGCCAGTGTCGTTTCAGGAACGCTCCCTGTATCCGTCCAGCTTCGCAGCTCCACTCGTTTCCCGTTGTTGTAGATACACGCCTTCCTGTTGACCCAGTCGACCTCGGGGTTGAACCGCTTCAAGAAATCTCGCCCCAAGATGAAATCTAAGCCCTTGATGTTCGTGATCGGCAACGTCGGCTTCCACCTCAGCGCCCCTATGTGCAGCTGCAGTGATGCTTCGCCGTGGATGGGAAGTTTCGTACCGTCCACCATTGTTGCCGAGAACTTGGTCTCCTACGAAAATTCTCCAATTTTCTCCAACGTCCCGCGGTCGCACACCGAGTGGGACGCACCACTGTCCACCATTGCCTGGAGGCGTCGCCCATTGCAGATCACCTCGAGTAGTAGTGGTTTTCGTTGCTCCGGGTAACCGTAGATGGTCTCACTTATAGGATCGTAGGGTACGTCGAATAGATCATCCCTCCGTCCTGCGCTCGAAGCTGCTGACTCCATATCAGTTTTCAACTGAGTTGGGTTAGAAGGATTTATCCGAGGCCGATTCAGCTTCGTCTTGGCCTGGAACCTTCTCTTAAGCCTTGGCAGCTGTGTAGGCTTCACCTGTGGGCAATTGGGAGCCTTAACACTGTGCTGCGGGGAGAGAATATCAACTCCTTGGAACGCGCGACCCTTGTCAACGCTCCGGAGTGGTTTGCCCAACTTCTCAGGTACCTAAATAATGTCTGAAGGCTTTTTCTTGGCCTCAAAATCTCCCCTGAATTTTTTAGAGGCTTGAAAACATCGAGAGGAAATATTCTTACTCTCGGGGGTGTTCGGCTGGAGTTTCCCGGTCGGTGCAGAGTCTTGTTTCGCGGAGCCTCCATTTGTCTCGGCGATTTCTCCTGTTGCCGGCCGGTCGTGACGTTTTAAATTTACGCCATCGTGTCCTCCTTTTTTCACCATCGTGGATGTCGCACTGTTGTTGCCATGCAGCTCTCCTCGTGCCTTCTTCATTTTCCAACACGCCAAGAGTCGATGTCCTGCTGCGCTGCAAAATTCGCACTTCTCATATTTTGTCGGCCGCTGCTTCGCGTCGATCTTGTCGATATCCATCGGGTCGGCGGTCGTGGGTGGTGCCGACCGCTCCGTGCCGAATGATCTGTTCGGCACGCGTCGTCATATTTCGGGTTGATCTCGCATCAACGCATCGAATCTCTCTGCTGCACACACCATGTCGTGGTAGTTGTTGTAGTTCGCGGCAATCACCTGTTGGTGGACTTCCATCTTTAGCCCCTCAGTATACGCTTGGATTTTTTCCCCTTCGGTCAGGTCGGTAATTCGGTTGAAGAGGCTCTCCATCTGCTGCGTGTACTGTGTTACACTGCCGAATTGTTTATGCTGATGAATCTGCTGCCGCGCCATGTAGCTGGAGTTGATTAGTTCGAAACGTTGAATTACAGCTTCTCGAAACTGCGCCCATGACCCCTCGCCTCGGATCTTATAGCTGTTGTAAATCCACTCGAGCGATGGGCCTCGTAACAGTGTCGCTGCGAGCCGAATCCGCATTGCATCGTGTGTCGGGGTCGTACAGCCAACGGCCTCGAAGTAAATTTCGAGAGTCGCAATGAATCGACGAACGTCAATGTCTCTCGCATTCGGATTGAACGTCTCCGGTAGCCTCGGACGTGCCGCCTCAAGATTCACTGTAGCTGCTGCCGCTGCTGCTGGGTGAAGTGTCGGTGTCGCCGCTGCTACTGCTGACGTCGCTGCTGCATTCGCCGCTGCGTTCGCTGCTGCCGTGGCGGCTGCCGAGTGGTTCGCGAGAAGCTCCTCTATTCGCTGGCGTGCCGCTCGCGTCTGGTCCAGGCCGGTGTGTAACTCCGTAATTTTCCGTACGGAATTATCACCGTTTTCCTCCATTTGGCGATTTATAGGAAGATTTGCGACGCAAATATATGAATTTTAGGCGCTGGTCATCCTACTGTGAGTCGAGTTGACTGCAGAAATGACGAGGGCTAATTCTGTAGGTCGCGTAATTCTCTCTGAGTCGAAATTTGCGTCTGATCTCGGCCGTTGAGAAGAAATTCGATCCGACGCTCCAAATTCCAACTTTTTTGTGCGAAATTCTTGAGGCCGTTGAGATTCGAAACGATCCGACGGTCGAAATTCCAACTTTTTCGCCACTGGACCTGAGGAGTGTTCGAAAACCGGTTCGACGGGGACGTTAGAAAATAGCCTGGAACTGTTTTACGTACCCGAAATCGGCGATTTCCGTCGTCGCCCCCGCGGTTTTAAAAGCTAGGTTTTAGCGGTCGACACATTTCGCGTCTAAACGGGCTCTGATGACCAAGTGTAAGGATCTAGGATCGAGCACAGAAAAGAGAATGTGAATTGAATTGAATGATCACCTGGGTACAACACGAGGCTTTATATAGGCTCGACACAAGGCCCAGTAACCAGGTGTTACGCGAAGGTTCCGCGGGTCGCGAAGCGTCCCGAACAGATCCTTCCCGAATTCAGTAGAAGGCAACTATAATATAATATAGGAAAGCACCTAGCCTAGGAATTCATGCAATCATATAATTATCCTATGCTAGAAATAGCATGATAAAGTAAAGGCAAGCAAGCATAGCTGGCATAAGCCTTCGTACTCTCACACGTGGCTTCGCTCATCATTTTCCGCATCTCGTTTCGATCTTCACACCTTGATAGCTCCGCGTCTCCCCTCTAAATCCGTGCTATCGTACCTTAGCCGTCCTCGTCTTCCCGTAGTTGATATGGAGCCGAGCCCCTACGCAAATAAGTCGGCGCCGACTTCGGCTGACTTCCCCCTTCGACACCGAATGGATCGCGGTCTGAGCTTCACCTTCGAGTGGGACGACTTCGCCGTCCTTCGCGGCCATAAGAAAGAGTTCACCGAGAGATGCTTCGGATTCGGCATCAGGTGGGACTCGAGTAGTCGCTGTTGGGCAGATGTCGGCGCCGACTAACTCTAGATGGGCGCATAGGGTATATGCCATTTTTCGTCGGGGGGACGGATTGTCGCAGATTGTCATCAGACTTACGTCGGCGTACGAGGCATTAGGCATGGACCCCGTCCAGGGACGTCGGTCGGCATAGCAAGCGTCGACCTGGCAGCTTTAGCGTTTGCTTACCCGCCATGTTATCACCCCTCATGCCCACTCGTGCGCTCAGGTACGCTTGGTATCGCATTGGGTTGAACGACCAGCGGTTGTGGGTAATCGGAGTCGGCCCGCTTCGATCGGCCATGAAGGCCGCCGACCATTCTTGCTTTGCTACGGTTTTCGACGCCGACATCGCCGCTATCCCGTTAAGAACGACGTGAGCTGTTTCCCCGTTGTCCAGTTATCGTTGTGTTTAGTGGAGGCATCGACGGAAAAGGGCCAGGAGGAGGCGGCATGCGAAGGTGGGAAGGTGTCGGTCGACGCCGGCGAAGGGGCGAACATCACGGGCGTGCAGGAGACCGGGGAAGCATCTGGTCGGCAGGGCCCTGAACTGGACAACGTTGAGGAGCTGCGACGGAAGAACTGGTTGTTGAGGGCGGAGAGCGCTCGGCTGGCGACATTGCTCAATGCGGAGCAGGCTTGGCTGGACAGGTTTTTTGTTGGGTTTAGTGGACTCGTCGACCACGTGAAAGGGTTGGCCGAGCAGGTCGACGACACCGAGAAGTATGCGGCGGAACAGCTGCGAAACGCGACGGCGGCCATGTCGGAGACCATCACGGGCAACATCACCGGCAGCTTCGACGAAGTGTGGAAGGCGATGAAGACCTTCGCGGAACAGGCGTCGGCGTGGTTGGAGGACTTCGACAACCCGGAGGGTCGTGTGGCATATGCACGCGCGAGAGCGATCTACGCCATGGCCGATCACGTAACTGGGGAGGTGGGCGAAGCGAAGCGGGGATTGGAGCTGTACATCACGACGCAACTATCCGCCGCGTAGGTCAACATCGCCACCGCTGTGACCTCCAGGCTCGTCGTGCAGCCGCCGCCACCGCCTCATCCCACGCCGCCCGCCCTCCCGGAAGAGCTCTTGAAGTCGTTCAAGGCCGACATCATGAAGGCGGTGACGGAGGCCACCCAACAGTCTTTTGTTGCTTCCGAGATGAAGATGATGACCGAGATGATCGGCACTCTGGCGCCTAGTCGATGTGGGTCGTCGCCGTCGGCCAATGACGCCGATCACGCGCAACGGAGGACTGCCGACAAGCAGGGCCTGAAGACGACGGGCGACAGAGACGACAAGGAAAGCGCGAAGCGGAGCAAGGGATCGGACGGGAGCCGCGGCTCGAAGCTTGCGGCACATAGCGTGGTCGACCAGCTGAAGACGAAGGCGGGGTGGAAGGTGATAAGGACGTCGAACAGCAAGGGGGGCGGAAGCGGGGGGGCAGAGGGTGGCCCTGCCGACGGGGTTGCCGCTAACGTCGCCGCTCCGCCTGGCCCGCCTTTGGTCGCCGAGCAGACCCATCCTCAGGCGAGCGGTGGGAAAGGCGTGACCGACAAGGAGGTCCCAACTGCTCAGGCGGCGAAAGATGGCGGCGCCGGAGCCACCAAGGGACCGTCCGTCGCGGTGGCGGCCAAGGGCAACGCGAAGGCTGCTGCTGCCTCGGTCGCCGGCACCACCAAGTCGAATCCCCGTAACCACCCTGCGGCTACCAGCGCGCCTGCCGGCCAGTCAAGTGCGAACAATAATGGGGAGGCCCATGCGGCCCCTCTTGTTCCGCCAGTCCGGTCTACCGCCCAGGGCGACGCGAAGGCTGCTTCGGCTAAGGGCGATGCTCCGGCATCAGCTAAGGGGCCCCCCGGTGGTAACGCGCTCAGGGCGATGCTCCGCCGCATGGAGGCACATAGCAGGGACGTGCAGCAGCATCCCGTGGTCAACGCCAGCCTTGCCGGAACAGCACGTCGCTCAGTCACTACGCAGGTTGCAGGCACATCGTCCGGTGCCCCGCCTGCCGCGCCTCCGGTCGCCGCCCCACCCCCTGTGGACCCCAAATCCGCGTTTCTTCGCGCCCATTTAGGCGCACGCAAAGCGGTGACTCAGCCGGAACCCGGCAACAACGCGACGCCGACGTCGGTAAACGCGACCGCACCCTCACCAGGTGCAGCTGTTGTCGATGCGGCCGCGGAGAAGGGAGTGAGTGCAGCGCTAGCCACCGGCGGCCGCGCCGACAAGCATGCCGAACTCGCTGCCGTCCTGGCCCATTTTGAAGCAGCAAAACGCCCCGAGCACGCCCCTGCTCTGGCCATCATGGACTCGGCGCATGTGGTGCCATCGACGACCCACGGAGAGGGTTCGGCGGAGCCGACGGTTGCAACGAGTGCTGTCGCCAAGAGAAATGCTGGACGGAAGGGGAAGGACGACATCAGGAAAGGGAAGGCGGTCTCTCAGAGGAGCACGCGGGCGATGTCTGCGGGGAAGGAGATGTCGGAAGAGAAAGGGAATCAGGACAAGACGGGCGGCAAGGGTAAGCCGGCGAAGAAGAAGGAGAAGGCGGAGGAGGAGGACGAGGAGGGCGGCGAGGGAGATAAAGAGCATGGACGCAGGGGTCATGGCATCCGCCAAGACAGGTCCGGCGACGGGCATGGGTGGGTGGGCGAGATTAAGGTAAACGGACAGAATCGATACATCGGCAAGTCGAGGGAGAAGATGGAGCTGGCCTACGAGCACGCGGTTGCGTACGTCGTCTACGACGGCTACGTGAGCAAGGTGCTCATGAATGAGCTCACTGTCTTGAAGCCGGGGGAGTTGGATAAATGGAAGGAGGTGTGGGCGGAGGTCAAGTTCTTGCCGACTGGGATGTGGACGGTGATGTGGGCCAGAGGCTTGTGCCATCCGAGAGCAAGGTAAGACGGATACCGACGTGCCGAGTTCTGTCGACCAAGTCGGTGTCATTACGATGATGTTGACGAAGTCGTGTCATTTTGATGTGTTTGCGTGGCAGGTTCGACGATATACTCGGCAGGTACCGTGGGTACGCGAGTTCGGGTGATGCGCTTCATGACGTGCTCTGGCCGGCGATCTGGTTCCCCATCATCGAAAACACGGAGGAAGGCAAGGAAGAGACGGATGCTCTCATGTCGGCGATGGTAAATCGCGTGTCGATGTGCGCGGCGTATGGGAAGGTCGCGGCGAGCGCGGCGTATGGGAAGGTCGATGCGAGCGTGGAGGGGAAGGCGGGAGAGAAGACGGAGATGGAAGGCGCGGAGGGGAAGGCGGACGAGAAAACGGAGATGGGGGTCCAGGCGTTAGCGGTATCGGCATGCGCCCTCTGGTGCTTCGTGGAGACGGGGGCGTCGGTGCTCGGTGCTGTGGGCGAAGGGAAGGCGGCGGCGATGGTGGCAGGTGCGGGGGAGGAGAGGGCCGAGGACTTCAAGAAGGTGATGCTCGCGGTGATCGACTTAGCACGCAGTAGGCAGGCTCCCGCGGGGAAGGTTGCACATAACGTCGCGCCAGCGCTGCAGAGCCAGGCAGTGGCCAGGGCCTTCAAGGAGGGAGTTGAGGAAGCCGAGGCCGACATGATTGCTAGAGCGACTGTCGAGACCTTGGCGTTCTGGGGAATGTGCCCCGTCGCCGGGCCCAAGCTCAAAGAGCAGGGCATCGATGTGCCGTGTGACGCGAAGATGGAGTACGATATGGAGCACAGGGGGAGGAAGGGGGAGAAGGTCAAGCAGGCCAAGTGCAGCAAGAGGAAAAGGGGGCAGACGGGCAAGCAGGGCAAGGACAGTACGGATGCGTAGTCGGCGGGCTGTGGTGCTATGGTATGGCCGGCGCCGATGTCGTTGTACTTCTAATAACTTTTCTATCTTAGGGCACGAGTCTTTTTTGTTTCTGTTTGCTTCATGATAAAAATCACTGTCCACATAGAAACGTGCTAGCCGCCTTCTAACGAGGAGCCCTGTCGGCGCATATCTCGACATCAAAGAAACATGCTACTTGGCGAGGAGCGAACAAAAAAAGGTAGACACATGATACTCGGCGACGAGCATTGTCGGCATCTATGTCGACAGCATAGCAACATGCTACTCAGCGATGAAGGATGAGTTCAGCGAGACTTCGACATCGCCCCGAGGATAGTATTTTTGATTCTTACTGAGCGACCGACAACAATTAACACAGCTGGATCAAGTAGGTTCGCAAGGACCTTGCAGTCGGTTGTTACAAACTACCGGAACAGCATTTGAAAAAAGAAGGGGGGGGGGGGGGGGGGGGAGGGGGGGGGGGGGGGTGTGTAAATGTCTGCCACAATTAACAGCATCAAACAGCGCACACGCATATCCTACAAGCGCGCTTATGCCGACTTCTTGCGCTTGGTCGGAGGACGGTGCACCGGTGCGGTCGGCTTGGCCGGTGCGGTCGACTTGGCAGGTGCGGTCGGCTTCGCCAGGTCGGCCTTGGTCTTCGGCATCTGCTCCACCCAGGTGTCTGGAAACAGGGTTTCGACCCAAACTGTCGGCTTCAGGTTGAGCGCCACAAGCGCACAGGCGAGGCGTAGCTTCGAGACCACCTTGGGGCCCAGCCCCTTGACTCCCATGCTAGGCTCCTTGGACAACATCGGTGCCGTTCCCGGTTTGAGCACCGTGAGGGCATCGGCGAAGGTCCCAATGCCCGGTGCCGCGATCCTGTGCAGTGCATCGACCACTTCCTCGGTGTCGGCGTCACCGTCCCTCGCGCGTAGCTGGCGCACCGCATCCATGACCCTCAGCATGCGGCGCACCCTCATGTTGAGTGCACCCTGCGTCGCGCGTGACAGGAGGGTGTGGCGGTCGACGAAGCACGGCTCGCCGAACCTGTCGCAAAGCCGACGGGTGTCATTGGCGGTGGCGGAGTTCCAGAGGCGCCAGGCGTCCCTCCCGGTCTTGGCCTCCCGCCACGGTTGTACCACGTTGAGCTCGTAACTAGCCTCCTCGTCCGTCTGTGGGGGTGGCGGGGGTTTCTCGTCCCCTCTGTCGGCTCCCGCTCCCGTGTTGGCCGAATCCGCCGAGCCACCCTTGCTTGGAGCTTGCGCGGTAGCCGACGGCGGGGCCTCCGGCACTCTCCGTGCTTCTGACATACGGAGTGCCTCGGTGAGACGGATTATCTCGGCGGTGAGCGACACGATGGTGCCGTCGCGCTTCTCGAGCTCCTCCAGGAAGTCAATCTTCTCGTTCGCGGTGCGCTCCATCTCCTTCGTCAGCTTCTCCTTGAGGGACATGTTGTAGTACTCTGTGTCAAAGCGAACAGAGATTTCCTGCAGCGCTACGACAAAGACGTTAGCTGCGAGGTGGTTTGGAGTACCCTCCATCCAGGCCGTCGTCGACTTACCTCTGCCTGAATTTGGGTCGGGTCCCGACGCTTGTTGATCGTCTCGGTGTCGACCCTCTCGACCCATTTCGCCCAGTGCTGGAAGAGGGGGATCCGGCAGAGCATGGAGCCTTGGACGTACGGGTGCCATGGTGTGCGGACCAGCTTCACCGCTAGGTCCTCGGCGACGATGCGGCGCAGCATCTGGAGTGTGCGCCAGAAGTGCACCGCGGCTTTGTCGGCGTCGGACCCATTGGCAGCCTTCCCTTCCGCCTGCAATTCGTCGCGTGTATAAGGAGTTCAGAAAGGGTCGGCAACACGACTCAAAGCCAAGGCTACGACGGCGTCGACTAACATACCGTCTTCAGCATGTCGTCGACGCCGGGGAAGATGTGCTCGGCGAGGAGCTTCAGGAGCTTCTCGGAGGGCTCTACCCTGCTCCGACCCAAGAAGTAGTCCTGCTTGTAACCAGAGTAACCGGTCTTCTTCATCACCACCCCCACCGGAATGGTGGTGATGTACGCTCGCGTCATCTTGTCGAGCGCCCAGTGACCCAGCTCCGCGATCTCGGCGCGCGGCGTGCCGTCGATGGCCAGCTCCTGGGCCCCTCTCGCTCGAGCGGCGTGCACGTTCCTCTTGCAGAACACCCCGTTCTTGTCCCACAACTGCCGCGCCCAGTGTTGGTGGCTTGCCACGGAGAGCTCCCCTTGGTCGGTGTCGTTTTTGGCGAAGAAGAGGTGCTTCTTGTACCAGCTCGCGCGTGTGCTGGTGTCCACCGGCGGAATGAGGCGGACGCCGTGAAACTGGCCGATCTGGTCGAGGATGAAGTGCAACCACAGGCCCGTCTCGCCGACGGCGCACAACTCCGCTTCGAGGTGCCGCGCAGCGTAGCTCTGCTACAGACGCGCATCCTTGGACGTCTTCGAGTTCCGCGCAGCGATGACCATGACAACCGGCTGGTTCTCCGGGTTCACCGACGAGGTACTCGCCAGTCGGTACAAGAATATGTCGGGGAGCGTGATCTCGCGGATGCTTTGACCGCGCAGGAGAGAGTGGTGGGAGAGTAGCGTGAGCACCTTCAAGAGCAGAAGCCTCCACAGCGTCTGCGAAGGGCCCGTACCCAGCGGGTTCCATGCCTTGGCCGCCCACGTCGGCAGCACCCTGATCATGATCTGGCGGAACTGTTCGGCGGTGTAGGTATTGCCAATGGTTCCGCGACGCCGATCGGCACAGTTCCTGCCGACAATGCCAAGGGTAAGGGGAATTTAGGGCGGCGTCGACTGTCAGAACTAGCAGTGAGAAAGAAAGAATGAAGAAAGGAGGGTTTTGCACTAGCAGCAGTTGGCATACATATAGGAAACCCTAATTGGGTTGTACTCGCTATAGAGTACCCCACTGCAGGCTAGACAATTATAACATTCTGACACACCCCCATAGCCAAAGTGGGGTGTAATCAGCACAATGAGCAAGCATAGCAGTAGTTCACAATTATGAGCAAAGCTAGTGGTAGTCACAGCGGGCAAGTGAGGAGGAGGAGGGACTGTGAGAGGAGAGAAGATGGGAGACGACGGCTGAAGCTACAGACACACGGGCAACAGGAGCGGCTGGCACAGTGGCTACCGGGACAGCGCCCCGGACTACTGGAGTAACTGGCTCACGGGCTACGAGGAGCTACAGGAGCAACGGACCCACGGGCGACAGGCGCAGCAGGCTCTCTGGGCTACCAGGACAGCGCCCCGGACTACAGGTGCTGCGGACGACAAGACGGCAGCCTCCTCTCAGCCTCCCCAAGCATTCCCACCCCCCCTGACACACAACCCCTGCTTCACCCCTAGCTCCACTCCCCCTTCACCCCTTAGTACCACTCCGACGGCTCCAACAGATCCACCCCCCTCAGCGGCAGCTGCAGCACTGGGAGACGGAGGAGGAGGAGGAGCAGGGGACAGCACACAGAAACTGCACCCCCATACCCCCCACCCCAAACCCTAATTCAGGAGAACGGGCAGCAGCAGGGGTGGGGCGCCGTCAGAAGCACGGGGGACAGCGGGCAGCTCAGGGGAAGAGGAAACAGGGCGCCCACGGGCCTGGCGCAGCCCGTACGAACCGCGCGCGGGCGGCCCGAGGCGCGCCCTGGCCTGGCGCAGCCGGTACGGGCCGCGCGCGGGCCTGGCGCTGCCCGTACGGGCCGCGCGCGGGCCTGGCGCAGCCCGTACGGGCCGCGCGCGGGCCTGGCGCAGCCCGTACGGGCCGCGCGCAGGCTGTACGGGCCGCGCGCGGGCCCTACGCAGGTCGTGCAGGCCGCGACGGGCGACGGGGGGCGACGCGCGGGTCCCCATCGCCCGTCGCAGCGCCTCCCGGGAGCGACGCGCGGAGTGACGGGGCAAAAAGCCGCCGCGCGCCTCGGGGCGCACGGCGGGCAGAAAACCGCCGCACGCTCCGAGCGCGCGGCGGGATGAAAAATCCGTCGCACGCCACGGGGCGTGCAACACACAGAGTAGCAGTAGCAGCGGAAGCAGTGAGGTGGTGGGCCCACCCACAGGATCGACCCAGGAGGGTCGACCTGCTCTGATAGCATGTCAGAACTAGGAGTAGAAACAAGGAATGAAGAAAGGAGGGTTTTGCACTAGCAGCAGTTGGCATACATATAGGAAACCCTAATTGGGTTGTACTCGCTATAGAGTACCCCACTGCAGGCTAGACAATTATAACATTCTGACATCGACATAGTACATGACAACAATAGAGTGGTCGAAAGAGGTTAAACATAAACTCACTTGATGTCCCGCTCGTTCTTGGTGCGTATCATGAACCGCACCTCCGACCTGACCACCAATATCTCACGCATGATGCTCAGCTCCGTCTCCCGGTATAGTGTCGCCTCCACTCTCGCCGCCATCTGGCATGCCTTTATGCGCCCGAGGAGCGTGTGCACCGTTGTAGATTGCACAGACTGTGTTCCTGTGGCGTTGTCGCCTTCCTTGCTGGACTCGGCATCGAGCTTCAACTCCCGAACCATGTACTTCACGTATGCGCGAAGCCGGGTCTTGGTGACCCTAGGGCCGTGCAGCCACACGTACGCCCGGGGGACATCGGCCTCTTGATCCCAGTTTTTCTTCTTGTTGTCCCGGATGTAGTGCCCTATCTCGTCGACGTGCTTAAGCCTGTGCTCCTGCGGAAGCTTGCTGCGAATTTGCCTCAACATCTTCGCCGCCCACCTCTTGAAGTGATAGATCCACGAGGTGTACAGCCTCAGCGTGCTGTTCCTCTCCACGGTTTGCAGGTGGCGTCGGGCGTCCAAGACGAGCACGTCGATGGACGCGTAAACCAGGTCTTCCTCGACGAAGTCTGCCGCCCTCCAATGTTCGCGTGGTACCGACAAGTTCTCCTGGTCCGCATCCTCGTCCTGTTCGAGCAGATTATCTATGTATTCAAGTTCCCGCCTGAGTCGTTCTTCCAAGGTGCGCTGATTAGTGCTACGCGGTGGACGCTCGTCGTTTTCGTCATCGCTTTCCTCCTCCTCCTCCTCCCCATCCTCCTCCTCCTCGACCTCAACCTGGTTTCCAGAGCCGGCCGGTGCCGACGAAGTTCCTGGCTGTCCTGTTCGCGTCGAATTCTGTTTTTTCTTCTTGTTAAACTCCCCGATCGGCAGTGGGGGAATGTCCTTGGTGAACTCCCCTTCTTGAATCTGCGTCAGCTTGTCAAGATCGTAGAGTAACGGGAGCGTCTCTTCCTCGGTAGATGTCGGACTGTGGTCGGTCGATGGACTAGCGTCGGACATGTCGACGTCGGCCATGTGGCAGCACGTATGTTGCTCTACCGTCGTCTGTGTGCGATGCGGAGGTTGGTAAACCAGAGGCGGTACTGCGTCACGGGTGCGGTGTACGACCGAAGAGTTGCGCGGCGGTCGTCTTCTAGATATCGCTCAATAACGTCTAACTCGTGTTCGACCTCGAGATTGCGGGGGTTGGTAAACCAAAGACGGTACTGAGTCACGGGTGCGGTGAACGCCCGAAGAGTTGCGCGGCGGTCTTCTTCGAATTCTCGATCAAGTGCGACTAACTCGGCTTCGACCTCAAGCCGTTCCAGCTGCGCTTTGATGTCGGTGTCTACAGAGTCGGCGGGGGGTGGAATGGGTTGCGGCTGTTGGGCTCTAGGGCGACCTCTGGCCATGCGTCGCCGACTTGCTACGTCGGCGGGGACGTTAGGAGCTTGCACCGATGTTTAGCTAAAACAGCAGACGTCGACGTCGATGACTACTGACCAAGTTGGCAACCGAGTAACCTACACGCGCGATGACAGACTGGCAGCTGAAAATTCTAAGTGCACGAGAGAGCAGGAAGAAACGCAGGAACGGACGTGGGAATGAGCAGGCCCACAAGGTCACGGATGGGTATGGTCCTGAGCGACTCCGATGCTGCCGCGCTTCACGCATACCCCTATGCTGCTGCCGCCATGCATGTGTTCTCGTAAAGGCGGCGCACTGTCCGACGTGCCACGTGCCGAGCATGGCTAATGTGACACAGCGCTGCAACGAAGGGGCGTAAGCCTGGGTATTTCCACGGTGGAATGGGCGTGTGTTACGTGGCTTGGGACCGACATTGGCCCCTCAGTTCTGAAATTACGGCATGCCGACTCCAATCTCCCAGGATCCCGGAATTATTGAAGCCCAGCGTGGGGCGCCCTAAGATCGACGCCGACTTCCATTCGGCGCGCTTGGTTGTTTCCTTAGGTTCATTGAACCTAGACTGTGTTGAGAGTGTGCCGCGTGGCCTGGTTGTGGGCCTTTGGATGAAATGGTCGACACCGACATCGCTTGCAACTCGCGATGCCACAGAACAGTTACACCCTGGACGGTCCGATTTGCGCCGCGTGGCAGCCTAGTACACGGTGGGGACGGTCTGGCTCCTCCCTATTGGTCCGCGTGGCGGCAGTCGCGGCTCGACGTGGCGTGCTGTCCTATTTTGTCCGCTGAGATATACTTCTCAGGAATCTCCCAGCCAAACCCGAGGTCGTCAGAATGTCGTCAATCCCGAGGGCCCCCGAGGCACCTCAGTCGCCAGTTCGGGCCAGTTTGCCACTCGGAGGTCGTCAGGAGCTCGTCAATCCCGAGGGGGGCCCTTGTCCCATTTCAACCGCGAAATTGGGCGGCGTTTTTCGTCGGCTGAGGTATATCATCCCAAAGCAACCAGCACGCCTAGGCAGGTAGGCCGAGCCTGGCCTTTTCGCCAGGTCACCACCTACTGGCCTGGGGCTGACGGAATTCGCTAGTGACTCGTCATCGTAACTTACCCATAAAAACAATCGTTTAACCCAGAAAAAAACATCGCTATGGTACAAAATATAAACCCCATTCGGATGGCATATATTTGGGGAAGCATCAACCCTAAACACTGTGCGGCAAGATGTTTAGGGCTGAGGCCCCTTTGAAGGCATGACGCACGAGAAAAAAAATCGTCAATTTTTAAATGTCGAGTCAATTTTCTCGATGTTGTCAAGGACGAAATCGTCACGTTGTGTGGTCAGGTCTGACGGAGCGTGTGGATGAGGCTCGAAATTCGTTGGGCACATGCCCAGCCCAGGTTCGACTTCTTGCGACACACGAGGCTCCAAGTTGGCAACTTTTCTAGAGCTCTGGGGCCCCAATATGATCATTTCCCTTAAGAAATAGCACTCGATCAGTAACTTATGAGAGAAGTGATTGCAATGTGTCAGCTCCTACAGAGCCAATATTGTGTACAAAGCGAAGAAAACGTTGTATACAGCCATACCTACCGTACATTGATAGCAGAACTTCATAGCAGGTGAGCTTTGACAAAGGCATACGGACTACTTGAACAAAGCAGCCATATTCTGGTCGTCTACTTTGTTGACAAAGATATTGTCAGCCATAGCAACAAGGCCCATAATCAGAGCCCTGTCTACATTGGGCTTGATATGCACCACGTATGTCTGAGCCGCCAAGAAAGCACCTGCAGCATCAAACTTACGGTCCACCTTTGCCAAAATACGGCCGCTGGAGGTGGTAATCTGCATGCGGAGGTAAGGAAAGTGAGAAAAAATGAAAAATTATCGCAAATGTGGTTCATGTCAAGCCCAATTGTGTTTTTTTTTTTGCAGAAGGCCAAATTTTTGAAGTGGTTTTATTCCCAAATGCTGGTAAACAGAGCACGGACAAACATTCTTGCAAGTCAGTGATGCAGGTGAGGATGCAAGGACACATATCAAGAACTCAGCTCAGAAATCAAGACAGACAAACACAGTGTTTTCAGGTGATACGGAATAATTGAGAAGATAGACAATGGAAGGACATACGTTGAAGTCGTACTGAACAAAATCGCCCTTGAGAATGATGTCGGGATTATCAGTTGACGTGTTCCCTTTCAGGAAAACCTGAGCATAAGTCAGCAGTCACAATTGCATAGAATAGGGAGGAAAACAAAACAATTCTGAGGATACAATGTACCTAGTTGCAATGTAGGTCGTGCTTACAAAAATGAACTCTCACTTCAGGCCAGGGTACAATGTACCTAGTTGCAACAACCCCCCAATCACCTTCCATGCTGATCCCTTACATGTTACTAGCTATGAAACAAATGTGTTAGAAACTCACATTGAGAATGGGTGACCAGGTGAGGATGACTTTCTTGGCGGTGAGTAGCGCGTGGTCGGGATCCGGGTCGGCGCCAGCGCAGAGGTATGTGGTGTCGCTGATAGAGAACAACTTGCTGACCATAGAGCAAACAGGCTCATCCTGGGCGTTGTAAATGGTTTTGCGCTCCTTGATGTCCCATGCCCTGCCACAAGTTGGTGAAAAGGAGTGGAAACGCAGTGAGGATCAGTGGGAGGAGACTTGGAACGTAGTAGGTAGTAGATAAATCAATCTCACGTACTTATCCTCAGTTCTGAACACCAGTTGTTCCTGACCGTCGCGGATCTCGGCCTTCTCACGCAGTGACCACATCTTCTCCTTCAGTTTAAGCACCGTCTCTTCCGGCACGCAGTACTGGCTTCCCACCACCACGTACGGCTCATTTGAGTCAGCCATGGCTGGAGATGCTCGCGACGATTAGGGTGGCTCTTTGACGAAAGCTCGGCTGGATCGCGATTCAGAAATGTTAGCTTGGAGTCGGATGGAACGGGTGCGCGAGTAATGATGCACATTTAGAATCCTCTGAGTTGACTGGAACTTTATAGACTGCGCTTATCAAGGCCTGGCTGGAAGGTGCCATGAAGCTGAGCTATCGAACTTACGTGCACTCAATTCACTCAAGCGTTCGCGAAGTCGCCACAGGTCGCACATGGAATGTTGCACTGCGCATTGATCATGCCGACAGGCGCTTGTGACGAAAACGAGGCCACGTCATTTACGGGAATCCTAAAGCCGCGAATCGGGACGTGGTGCATTGCCGGAGAGTTAGGTTGCGGGTTCCCAAACTCACCCAGCAATATGAAAGCTGGAGACAGTGGAGCAGGATGATGAAATATGAGTGTGGTGAAAGTGTTGGTTGGCATCGCCTGGTGTTTTTACGAACGCGCTGCAGCGCTTATTCTTTGTTTTCCGTTCGCCTATCAGCAACAAATAGCTGCCACAGTTCATTCAGCGCTCGCTCTCCACTGTCCTTTGTCGTTCACCGTTCTGAAACTTTCACTACTCCATTCTTCAATACTTCACCAAGCTGCACCAGAGCACACCTGGGATCTCACCAGCGCAGCTGTTGGGACACTGCTGGAAGAGTATCTCAGGGCGCGAGGTGAAGTGAGGAGGGGGAAAATGAACGGACGTACGCAGGTGTGCCAACTGGAACATCGAACGGTGGTGATGGATGGGTGCACAAAATCTTCGAACAGCTGGTTTCGATTTTGAAGAGCCCGAAAAGACACTCGCTACGGTACAGTTCATATCATATCACACAACAAAATCTACAAAAACCTCGAAACAGCAAATCTACAACAGGTCCTCATTCAGGTATGCTAAAAAGTTACATTTGTCTGAGAAGTTTATTCCCATTCATTGACAAATTTGCAGCCATCGCAGGCTACACGCAGCCGTGGAACTGACTTTCTAAAACTATGGTTTGTTTTGCCAAGGTCATTGCCAGCCATTCCATTTAGTTTCTTGGAGCGAACACAGCCATGACTTCACGAAACAGCCAGTCAGGTGTGATCAATTTGGCATAAGGCAAGGCTGATCACAGAGTGATCCTCTGCAATGCATCCCAATCTCAAAAACTTGTCCACTACAGAAGATCAGGCCTCAGGCTCCCATGCTGTTACCATTGCACATTCTAAACCACACCATGTTGGATCGCTGCAGTAGACGCAGAGCCGTGTCACACCTCTCCTCCCACCGCCCAGCATTCACCCCCCGATCACACTGATCAGCCTTTTCATCCCCATGAGCCTCAAGGGCTTCTCTAAGCTCTAAATAAGCCTGCACCACTAAAGCCATGCCACCAGCACACATGCCTTCCTCACCCCCAGCCATCCCTCCTCCACCTGCCCCTCCTCCCCCTGCCTTGTCGGCGCATACCCGAGCCTCTGCAAGATCGCCCTTCATGGCGTGTAGAGCAGCCAAATTCACATACACACTCTCCCTCCACTCCCTCCATTTCCCCCCTCTGCCTGCTGCTGCTGCTCCTGCGGCTCCTCCTGCTGCTGCTGCACCTCCAGCCGAACCAGTGCCAGCTGCGGGAGGGGAAGCTTCCAGGAACTCGACAAGGCACTCAGAGAGAAGGCTCAGGGCGTCGGCAGGCCGGCCCAGAAGACAAAGAGCCTCTGCTGCGTACATGCGGAGGGAGCTGCGTTGCCACGGGTCTGAGCTCCTGTCAGTGCTGACAGGTTTCTGTGAGGTATGCTGTATGCGTGGGTCGTTTGCGGCGTGAGGGGGTGGGTTGTTGCGGGTGTTGAGCAGGGAGAGGGCGTGTTGAGTGGTGGCAAGGCAAGCGAGGTGGTTGAGGAGGGAGAGCTCGACCCAGGCCAGCTGGCACAGGGCTGAGAGGAGAAGGCGGCGGTGGGCGGAGGGTAGGAGAGGTGGGGGAGTGAACGGCTTCTGGCTGCTGCCACCGCCGCTGATGGCGCCACTGCTGCTGATGGTGCTGGTGCGGGTGCTGGTGCTGCTGACGGTGCTGGCGGTGCTGGTATGAGGGGGGTGCGAGAGCAGCAGGTGGATGGCGTTCTTGAGACACATGCGCGCCAGGGGGAGGGGATCCAGGCCCAGAGAGGATGACATTTCGAGCGAAAACGGCAGTGGCTGCTTAGAATGGCCGAACCCCGCTCTGTCTGTACTGACCGTTGCGTCACTGGTGGTACCGCCGCTGCTGCTGCTGCTGCTACCGGCAGCAGTGCCACCATGGTGCCTAGGAGGAATGGCTGATGCTGCTTCTTGCTTCCCTGAATTGCCTTGAGTGACGCTCGCTCCTGCGTCCCCGCGGACTCGCCTCGCCATGAGATCAGCAAGCTCACTGAGAGCCGTCGATTCACCTGCACCAGCACCGCCCAGAGCCGTCAATTTGACTGCAGGGATTCCACCGCTGGTACTTTCAGCGAGGACCCCTGATTCGATCTTGTGTTGGGATCCATCGTCGCGTGTGCCAGCTGGCAGCAGGACATACTGCCACGTGTCGTCAGTCCTTCCGCCGCTCATCAGAGTCACCGCCATTCTGCTGGGTCCGAGAAAGTCTTGCTGCTTCTGATTATCGCTCCGATGCTGCTGCTTTTGATGATCATCCTGCTTCTGTTTCTGCTTCTGACGGTGCTTCTCTTGCTCCTGCTGCTCTTGATATTCATTCTGCTCCTCCTGCTGTTGCTGGTGGGTGAGAATGCAGCACTCTGCCAGTCGAAGCCACAGCAGCGGCCAGTCGCAGAAGACGCGCGAAACCTCCTGGAAGCATCGTGCGGCCTTGACGGGATCGCCGCTGAGCAGCATCTGCAGGCCGAGCTGGTACACCAGCCGCGCCGCGTCGCCGTTGTTCTGTGCAAGCTGTGCTGACGTGTCGCGGCTGCGGATCATTGCGTCCACACCAGCTCCCTTTCTGAGACTGTCGCTATCCATTTCAAGTTGAGCCCGTTATCTTCGTGCGCTAAACCTACAAAACGCGGCTAAGAGCAGTTCAAATTGCAAGTCCAAAGTGGTCGACAGACCAAAGCGCTGATGCACTAGTCCGTGCCGGTTGTTGACTAAGTCCCACGCCTCGTGGAAGGGCTTTTGGCACGCAACCAGCGTTGGGTCTAGAACCGCTTTAGTATTCTCAGCTGCGACAACAGGCGTCTGGGCCCACACCGGACCAAACCGGACTCTCTTGCCAATGAACTCAGGAGAATCCCGAAACCGCAACTATTTACTAGTTAGTCGACTTTCTTTGGCCCAGACTGCACTCCCTAGGACTCTGCTTCTAGAATCTAAGCGCGATGCAATGCGATTCCTCCCTACGTGCTTGTATAGGCCCCGTTCTAGAACCTAACCCAGGTTCATTCGGATCGAAGTTATTTGCTGGCGTGATGTGGATTTGGCTGCTGGAAAGTTGCATACACTTCGCTAAAAAATTCGAGGAACTTTTAGCGCACAGCTGATGGTGCTTTAAGCGAGGATTTCCAGAATTAGCCTGAAAATTTGAGAATCCCTTTTTCCTTACTTCGCATCCCTGCTCAACGCGTACATCACTGTAGCACCACAGTCAGCACCGTTACCACTCGCAATCCTCGCATCGACAATCCGCCCGCCACCTTCGCACGTCGCACCCCGACCTCACGGCTCGGCGGGTAACCCGCGCTCCGGGCCTCCGCTTCGACACTTTTCCCAACCTCAGTCCCAGGCCCGTCGCGCGACAACCACAGTCCATTACCGTTACCACTGTAGTTTCGCTATATATTCTTCGCTCATGCCTTCACTCATTGTACTCTTGCTTCGATAGTGCAATTCTCGTTCGTTCACTCAATTGCACTCGTAACACTTGGTATTCAGAGCCTACGATCTCTTCTCGGACCGCACCCACACCTTTGCTTCCCCACTATCTCAATTTTGGGGGGGGGTAGACGTCTCTCAACGATACAGCACCGCCGCTCGTAGTGCTCTCTCGTAAGCACGCACGGCCACGACTGAGGCTCTCGCTAAGCTCGCCCGACACCCCCGCCATGGCCGAATTCACGCTCGTCACATTGACGCAGGAGCAACTCGACCGCCTGGTGCGCCAACTCGAAGATTCGGCGCTCGAAATTGCGACGCTCACAGCGGAACGTGACTCCGCGCGTCAGCAATCCACGGTGAACACTCCAGCAGCACCACACGCACCAACAAATGCACCTGCGCAATCGGACGAGCCGATCGTCATCTCGTCCGGTACACCAACACAACACGACAGCATGGGACAGCGCTCGGGCGCAGCCAGTGATAGCGCCGCCCAACCAATGCCTGGCATGGGAGGAAACAGGGGCGCGCCAAGCCCGCGGGAGCCTCGCGAAGACCGTCGGCACGTGGAATTCGCGGCGACAACTGGCGAACAGGCCTTCATGGCACCAATGCCACTCAAGCCGCAACGCCCGCCCTGTTTCGACCCGAGCCAACGTGGAGGTCCGACGGTTCAATCGTGGGTCTTCACTATGAACGTCTTCTTCGACGCGAATTACGTCGAGTCGGACACAGCGAAGATTCGGTATGCCGTTTCGCTGGTAAGGGGCCCCGCCATGGACTGGTGGCGAGTCATCGTGACGTCGCCACGCGCCTACGAGCCACCGTCGCAAGAGGAAGGGCCCACGGGTCCAGCTGTCACCTGGAGTTCATTCTGCGAGACTGCCCAATACAGCACGTGGGATGCGTGGTGCGCAGGGCTTCGGGCGCGCTTCGAGCCGATCGCGGCTTCTATTTCGGCGCGTCAGAGATTGCGCACTTGGCGGCAGCTCGGATCGGTTCAAGATTACACGAGCGGTTTTCTCGCACTTTGCGAGCAGGTCGGCTACATGCACGAAGCGGAGCGGGTGGACCGTTACGTCGGAGGGCTGAAACCGGACATCTCGCACGAAATCATGCTACGCGGGCTCTCGAATTTCAACGAGATTCTCGCGCTTGCCAAGAAAATCGACATCCTATGTCGACCGAGACCGGGGTTCTACTACGGACATCGTCCTCGGGGACCGATCGAGCACGCCACTGTGAACGCCGTTGCGACGAATGCAGCTGCCGCGCCGTTTAAGGGGCGCTGCTTTGCTTGCAACAGGCCGGGCCATCGCAAGAGCGAATGCCCAGAGGAGCTAAGGCGCCGCGGAGCAGAGCAGGGGAGGGAGTCTCAGAGGCAGGGAAACGCCAGCAGTCAGTAGAAGTTGGGCCAACTACTGACGAGACTGCCTGCTCGCCCAACCACACCGACCCTCATCGAGTCACAGTACCGATTCACGCCATCGATCGGGCTCGGATGAATAAGGAGGGTACAGCGACGGATTGCCCAGTACTGATCCACGGGAAAATACAGGGAGCAGCAGTGAAGATTTTTATTGACGGAGGAGCAAGCCACAGTTTAGTTAATACCGCGACCGCACGAAAACTGCAACTGACACTTAGCCGTTGCTTACCGGAGATAGACGCACGCTTAGTCGACGGCACGCCGCTGGCCATACGGGAAAAGGTAGAGAGAGTCAAAGTCCGCTGCGGGGGGAATTTCGGGTTTACACAGGAAATGCTCGCAACGACACTGGATGGGCACGATATTTTACTGAGGCGCGATTGGCTGCGACGATATAACCCGCGAATTGACTGGACGACGGGTAGCTGCACCGTGCAAAGTGGTGGTAACTGGGTCCAACTACCTCGCTGGCAGTCGCCCGAGTCTTCAACGGTGCACGTCAACGCCATCACAATGAAACGGGCTGTCGCTGCTGGAGCTGACGTGTACGCAGTAGATATCGCAGTAGTAGAGGAAGCAGAGCAGCCGAGCGATTTCAAGAAACTGCTGGCAGCTGTACCGCCCGAATTACAGGAGCTGTTGAAACGGTACCCCGGGATCTTCCCCGACGACTTACCGGAAGGATTGCCACCTAAGCGAGCACATGACCACCGAATCGAATTAGAACCAGGGGCGCAGCCAGCTGTACAGCGCCAGTTCAGACTGACACAGCCCGAGCTCGACGAACTAAGGAAGCAGTTAGATTACCTGTTAGAGAAAAAATTCATCCGACCAAGCTCGTCACCATTCGCCGCACCGATACTGTTCACGCCGAAAAAAGACGGGGGTTTTCGCATATGTATCGACTACAGAGCACTGAACAGGGTAACATTCAAGTCGCGATACCCCATTCCCCGCGCCGACGAACTGATCGACCAACTGCGAACAGCACGGGTGTTTTCGAAAATAGATTTACGGGGGGGTTACCATCAGATTCGGGTCGAACCATCGGACTGCGCCAAGACAGCATTTAGGACTAGGTACGGGTCGTTCGAGTACACTGTGATGCCTTTCGGGCTAACCAACGCACCGGCGACCTTTCAGATGACCATGAACGAGGCATTTAGGCCGCTCTTAGATAAATGCGTCATAGTTTACCTCGACGACATCCTAGTTTACAGTCGGGATAAGCAGCAGCACTTAGTGGATCTGGAAGCGGTTTTTAAGGTTTTAGAAGAGCACCGCCTACTGACCAAGGGTTCCAAGTGCGAGTTCTTCCAGGATAAGTTAGATTTTTTGGGGCACGTTATTTCGGAGGCTGGAGTTGAAATCGACCCAAAGAAGCTGGATACGGTAAAAGCGTGGCGTCCCCCGACAAACATCACGGAGCTGCAGAGTTTTTTAGGGTTCGTTAATTATGTGCGTCGGTTCGTCCCCGACATGGCACAATTGACTGCCCCGCTGACTGATTTACTGCGAAAGGGGGTCGCTTTTACGTGGGGGGAGAAAGAGCATGCTGCCTTCTCTGCCCTGAAAAATGTTCTCTGTTCACCGCCCGTCCTGCGCATCGCCGACCCACACCGCCCCTTCGAGGTTGTTACAGACGCAAGCGACATCGCCATTGGAGCCGTACTACTACAGGACTTCGGCAACGGCCTACAGCCCATCGCATACGAGTCACGAAGACTGCATCCGCCCGAGCGAAATTACCCGATACACGACCGCGAAATGCTCGCGATCGTGCATGCGTTCAAAGTGTGGCGCTGCTACTTGACCGGCGCAGACGTGACAGTACGGACAGACCACCGATCACTACAGTACCTCCGTGCACAACCCCACCTCAACCCACGACAGATTCGGTGGCTCGATTTCCTCGAGTCAAACTTCCACTACACAGTCACCTATAAAAAAGGAGCCTCGAACATCGCCGACGCACTGACCCGCCCCACTGCCCAGATTCACGCGATACTACTCGACCAGACCAGCCCGCTACTGACAGGACTATTGACCCACGGATATCAAACAGACCCATTCTTCACAGGAGGAAATTCGCAGCAGTTCGCAGCAGCCAAGGGAGTCTATTACGTAAAAGCCGGGACCGACCGCATCTGGGTCCCAGGGTACACACTGCTACGGGAATTACTATTACAGGAGGCACACGACGGGGTCACCTCGGGACATTTCGGGGTAGAAAAAACACGGCAGCAGCTGCAGCGGTATTATTACTGGCCCGAAATGTTGACCGACGTGCAGCGACACGTGGCATCGTGTCCCACTTGCCAGATCATGAAGTCATCACGGAAGCGGCCGGCGGGACAGTTGCAGCCAATCCCACCTCCAGAGCGTGCTTGGCAGCAGGTGACGATGGACTTCGTCACGGGGTTACCGGCTGGGGCGAGTGGGAATGACGCGATCCTGGTCGTCGTCGATCGACTGACGAAAATGGCACACCTCGCAGCCTGCAAAAAATCAATCACAGCCGAAGAAACAGCCCGCCTCTTCATCTCTACCATCGTTCGACTGCACGGGATACCAGCATCAATCATCAGCGACAGAGACACGAAATTCACCAGCAACTTCTGGCGGAACCTGTGGCAGCAGTTCGGCACGCGACTAGAGTTTAGTTCATCGTACCACCCCGAAACAGACGGACAGACAGAACGGACAAACCAGACCATGGAACAGCTCATCCGGGCCACGTGCGACGACCCAAACACGTGGGAACAGCAACTGCCGCTCGTCGAATTCGCATACAACAACGCCCCATCCGCCACGACCCAACAGTCACCATTTTACCTGAACTACGGACAAGACCCAACAGTACCCATGACCCCGAATCCCGACAACCCGGTCCCACGCGCGCAACAGTTCGCCGAAATTTTGCAAGCAGCACGGACCAGGGCAGCAGACGCAATCAAAAAAGCTAACATCATCGCTAAACGCAACGCCGACCGCCACCGCAGACCTGTCACTTATCAGCCCGACGACTTAGTTTTGCTCGACACCCAAAATCTCCGACTGCCCATCACCCCGAAACTCCGCCCCCGATACTGTGGGCCATTTCGCATAAGCCACATGCTCACACCCGTCACCGCCCACCTCCTCCTCCCGGCTGACTGGTACGTCAGCCCCTCATTCCACGTCAGCCTGCTTCGCCCTTACGTCCCGTCCACGAGCCAACTGCCACGCAATCGCCCAGCTAGCATGACCAGACCACCAACCGAACCGATCATCACCCCCGAAAAAATACTGAGTCACAGGGTTCGCGACCCTCGAGGAGCCCGAAGGATCGAATTCTTACTCCGCTGGAAGGACCGTACACCCACCGAAGATAATTGGGTTCCCCTGGACAGAATCGAAAACCACCCCGTCCTCACCGAGTATCTGCGCAGCCGAAACTTCAGGGATGTACACGCACTTTCGTAAGAAGGACCTCCTTAGGGGGGGGGGTAGTGTAAGGAAAATCTCTTTTTCCTTACTTCGCATCCCTGCTCAACGCGTACATCACTGTAGCACCACAGTCAGCACCGTTACCACTCGCAATCCTCGCATCGACAATCCGCCCGCCACCTTCGCACGTCGCACCCCGACCTCACGGCTCGGCGGGTAACCCGCGCTCCGGGCCTCCGCTTCGACACTTTTCCCAACCTCAGTCCCAGGCCCGTCGCGCGACAACCACAGTCCATTACCGTTACCACTGTAGTTTCGCTATATATTCTTCGCTCATGCCTTCACTGATTGTACTCTTGCTTCGATAGTGCAATTCTCGTTCGTTCACTCAATTGCACTCGTAACAGTCCCCTACAAATGTCGAAGTTTTGCACTGCAAACTGTAGAGCTACGCAGGTCTTCCTATTCCTGATTCGTTATAGCGTAGCCTCCGCTGCAAAGCTGATGGGTGCTGCTATCCCTGCGGTGCGCTGACTTGGCGCCGTTAGTTGTGTGTGGCGGCGGCGTAATTAGGCGAGTAAAGCTCCCAGCCCAGGAACCTACTAGGGGGCTCTTCCTCCACCTTTACCTCGACTCCTAGCCTAGCCTAGACCCCACCCCACGCCAACAGAACCTCGAAACCGAACCGAACCACATTCAACGCCAGGCGAGCAACCTGATCTGAACCATTCCACTTTTGTGTCCGATTCGAACCACTTCCGTGTCTGATCCGTACCGTATCGTAGTTCTCCCGAAACACCACGGCGTAGTAGAGCAGTAGTTAATCGGCCAGGACAGCTCAGCAGCCAATAGAAGCTCCGCAGGGTTAGCTCTCATGACGCTCGTCGCGCTATGCCGCCGCGCTACGACCAGCATCTGCTGTAACACCGGAACAGTCCCACCCCTACGTGGCTACAATAACGGGGCGTATAATAACGGAGCGGTGTTTTCGCGGATGACTCTTGTCTGTTCCTATAGCAGCGGACTTTCTTCCCTCGCTCGAGGCCGAGCCGCGATCGGCTCTAAGCTCCATCATAGTAGCCATAGCCACGTGGCGACTCAATGCCACGTGGCTCGATTATCCATCACTGCCAGCTCATCTGCCAGCTCAGCAGCGACCGTGTCCACGTCTGCCACGTCAGCAGCCCCCGTGGCGCTAGACCCGTCGTACGGGAGTAAGGAGGTGATTAAAGTCGACAAGCGCGTATACCAATACATCCTGGAGCACACCCGAGAACCCGAGGTGACTATAAGCGGCGTGACTTGGTGGTGTGACTGTAAGAGGTCTGGATATAAGAGGTGATTATGGGTTTGGGATGTGTGGGGTGTGTCACAGGCTTCCAGCAACGCTTTTGGAAGAATAGATTTCCGTTCTTGCCCCATTCACCCTCTGCTGCACTCTCACTCTCCTATTCTCTCTCTCTGTCCCGTCCTCTCGTTACTCTACCCGTGCCCAGTAACCGTGCCCACTATCCTCCTGGCCCCCCGCATGCCTCCTCCCTGCCCATATCCCCCTCTTCTTCCCATCTCCTCTTCCCGTGTCTGGCGATTCCTGTCAATTTTATCATGTCTTCTTCCCATCTCTTCTTCCCTCGTCCCCCTGCCTTTCTTTTCTCGTGCAGATTCTTGCCGAGCTGAGGAGGGAAACTGCAACCATGATAGGCAAGGAGATGCAGGTGAGGGGTTAGGTCATGACTTATACCCGCTATAAGCAGGGGATGGTCGTCTATTCGTCATAAGCAGGTGCAGAATGCAGATTCTAGCCGAGCTGAGGAGGGAACCTGCTACCATGATAGGCAAAGAGATGCACGTGAGTTGAGGAACTAGGTTATAATGCATACCTGATATAAACAAGGGGTGGTCGTACCCGTTATAAGAGGGTGCAGAGTGTAGTAGAGTTGAGGAGATAGACGGCTGTTGTCATATGCGACGAGGTGCAGGTGAAGACATGCCTTATACCCGCTTTTTATATGCACGTTATAAGCAGATTCAGAGCAGGGGTTGTCTCGTTTATGCTTATTGCGGTTAACTGGGCAGGGCATGCATTTTAGAGGAGAACTTGGGGGGAGTGAGGTGAGGGGGGTTGCGGGTGAGAAGGGTGACCTTTCCTCACAACATGGGTGCGATGCGAATTCATGGGAGCAAGGCAGTACTGTCATGCTCCCGTTCACCCATGACCAACCTCACTTTCCCCCTTATCCCGGCCTATCCCGTCCTATCATGCGCTATCCCATCCCACCCCATCCCATCCCACCGCATCCCATCCCATCCCATCCCATCCCATCCCATCCCATCCCATCCCATCCCATCCCATCCCACCCCATCCCACCCCATCCCACCCCTTCCCATCCATTCCCATCCCATCCCACCCCTTCCCATCCATTCCCATCCCATCCCATCCCATCCCACCCCATCCCATCCCATCCCACCCCGTCCCATCCCATCCCATCCCACCCCATCCCATCCCATCCCACCCCGTCCCATCCCATCCCATCCCATCCCATCCCACCCCTTCCCATCCATTCCCATCCCATCCCATCCCATCCCATCCCACCCCTTCCCATCCCATCCCATCCCATCCCATCCCATCCCATCCCATCCCATCCCATCCCATCCCATCCCATCCCATCCCATCCCACCTGTTCTACCACACCACCACCCCTTCTGCAGGTGTCTCCAGAGCAGGGAGCGTTCTTGGCCATGCTGGTGCGGCTTATGGAAGCAAGGGGCGGGTAGTGTGGCTGTGCACACACATACGCTCATGCTCTTGTCTGTCTGCCTGCCTGCCACCACCATCCCTGCTGGTGTCCCCGGAGCAGGGAGCATTCCTGGCAATGCTGGTGCGGCTCACGGGAGCCAGGCACTGCATTCACCATTCACACACCCTTACTTGCTTGCCTGCCATGCCATGCCACCACTCCACTCCCCTGCAGGTGTCCCCAGAGCAGGGAGCATTCCTGGCCATGCTGGTGCGGCTCATGGGGGCCAGGCGCTGCATTGAGCTGGGCGTGTACACGGTGAGCCTTGCGGCTGTGCGGTGTGCTGCGGTGTGCTGCGGTGTGCTGTGGGCGGCGGGCTGGGTATTTTATGCATTGAGTTGGGCATGTACACAACACGGTGAGGCTTGGGACCACGGCTGCTGTGCGCATTGTTGCAGTGTGTTGCTTCCCCCTTCCGCCTCCCCCCTCATCCTTCCGCCTTTCCCCACTCCTCCCCTCCCTCTCTCCCTCCCCCTCCCCTTCTCCCTCCTCCATATCGCTCCCCCCTCCTCCCTCTCTCCCTCCCCCATCCCCTTGCCCCGCTCCCTCCCCTCTCCCCTTCCCCGCTGCTCCGTGGCTGTCTCTTGCTTATGTCTCACTTTGGTGGTGCTGTGCGCTGTAACAACTTCACCAGTCCAGCCCTTCTTGCGCCACACCAGTCCAGCCCTTCTTGCGCCACACCTGTTTGCCCATCCTCCTCCCAAGGGCCACTCTCCTCCCTCTCGGTGACTTTGGCACTTTCTCCCCACGGTCTGCTGGTGGCGTGTGAGCGGGTGCCTCACACGTTTGTCTCATTCCCTCTGTGCCGCACACGCTCGCCCAGACCTCTTGTGTCTCTTGCCCATCCACCTTGTTTCTCTCGCCAGGGCTACTCCTCCCTCTCGGTCGCGCTGGCATTACCTTCCGACGGCCTGCTGGTGGCGTGTGAGCGGGTGCCTCACACGTTTGCAGTGGCGCAGCGATTCTACGAGAAGGGTGGTGTGAAACACAAGGTGTGACTCTAGCGAGGGCTGCTGTAGTGAGTGAGTGAGTGAAGCACAAGGTGTGCGTGTGTGACTCGAGCAAGGGCTGATGCGTGATTGATTGTAGCAAAGGGTGCCGCACACGTTTGCAGTGGCTCAGCGATTTTACAAGAAGGCTGGCGTGAAACACAAGGTGTGCGTTTGTGACTCTAACAAAGGATGATTCATGATTGATTGTAACAAGACAGGGTGTGACTTGCACAGACTGTGACAATCTAGCAAGGCACTCTTCTTCACCATTCCCCCACTCACTCACACATTCTGCTCCGTCTACCCCACTCACGCATTCTGCTCCGTCTACCCCACTCACGCATTCTGCTCCGTCTACCCCACTCACGCATTCTGCTCTGCAGTACTAAACCCTCTGTTTCGGCCCCCTCCAACCCCCTCTTACTGCTTCAACGCCACGTCTTCCTCTACCACCTCTTTTGAGTCGACTCAAAAGTCACCTGCTTCAACGCCACGTCTTCCTCTACCACCTCTTTTGAGTCGACTCAAAAGTCACCTGCTTCAACGCCACGTCTTCCTCTACCACCTCTTTTGAGTCGACTCAAAAGTCACCTGCTTCAACGCCACGTCTTCCTCTACCACCTCTTTTGAGTCGACTCAAAAGTCACCTGCTTCAACGCCACGTCTTCCTCTACCACCTCTTTTGAGTCGACTCAAAAGTCACCTGCTTCAACGCCACGTCTTCCTCTACCACCTCTCAACCCCCTGCCCTCGCGTACTCTTCAACCCCCCCTGGCCGTGCTGCAGGACACGTGCAGAAGCTGCACCTTCTCCCTTCTCTCCAACACGTGTTGTGTTTGCTTCCCTGCCCCACACACCACCCCACATCACCAGGTAGTCCCCCGGCTTTGCCTGGCGCAGGACACGCCGCAGCAGCTGCAGCGCCATCTCCCTCTCTGTTCCCTCCTCCTCCTGATTCTGCATGCCCCTTGCCATTTCGCCTCCCACACCCACGCCACCAGGTAGACCCACGGCTGGGCCTGGCGCAGGACACGCTACAGCAGCTGCTGGAGGAAGGGCAGGCAGGCAGGTGAGAGAAGAACCACAGTGGCTTGCGCGTGACCTGTTCACACGCCACAGTGGCTTGCGCGTGACCTGTTCACACGCCACAGTGGCTTGCGCGTGACCTGTTCACACGTCACAGCATCCCATCTATCCTCCACGCCCCACCGGGTGGACACGCGGTTAGGCCCGGCACAGGACACGCTGCAGCAGCTGGAGGAAGGGCAGGCGGGCAGGTGAGACTACAACCACAAGGGAGGTGAGACTACACCAGTGTGCAGCAGCTGGTGGAACCACAAGGGCGCAAGTTATGGTGTCATGTCAGCATCATAGATCCACCAAGCAACTTCATGCGTTCTTTCATTTCATCAAGTTGTGGAGGTCTTGTGTTGCCAGCAGATCATGTGCCGCCACCTTGTGTCGTCTCCCACCACCTTGTGTCGTCTCCCACCACCTTGTGTCGTCTCCCACCACCTTGTGTCGTCTCCCACCCATGCCCTTTAAGCCGACTCAAACGACACCGTCTCACTCACTTCTCCATTCCCTCTTTCCCCGGGTTATCCCAGCTTTGACGTTGTGTTTCTAGATGCGGTAAGCGGATGTACCAAGAATGTTGCAGGTTGTTTTTTGAGAATTCCCAAAAACAACAAGCGGATATACTGAGAATACTAAAAATTTCTGCTCACCTTTTCACCCACTCCTCCGTTACTAGTCTCCTAGTGCTTCTCCTCCGCACCCATCATTCACGCCCACTCCTCCCTTCCCTCTCTCCTCGGCTCATTGCAGCTTTGACTTTGCGTTTCTGGATGCGGACAAGCGCATGTACCGAGAATACTACGAGCTGCTTCTCACCCTTGTGAGTCGAAGTCTGTTAATAAATTCCATACCTCGCTGTAACGATTGTTAGTTAACTAGAGCCTCAACGCAGTTACTTCAGATGCACGTTCATTCGTTTCTCAAGTGATGGGATCTGTAGCATTCGGTGACTGACACCCATCCGCTCCTTGAACACGCTCTAATGAATGACCATGTAGACACTGGAACATCTTTCCATGCGTGCCTCTATGGGATGTTGACGTGAAAAATACACTCATTTCACGTGGCTATCTTTCCATGCATGCCTCTATGGGATGTTGCCATGCTGCTATTGACGTCGTTGTCCTGGCTAAGTATTTCGGTGATGCAAACAATCCAATTCACACTGGAGCTGGATAGGCCTCCATGCATGCATGCAAGCCTCTATGAGATCCATGCTGCCATGCTGCTATTGATGTCGTTGACCTGGTTCTGAGGCGCCTCAGAAGTTGTCCCGTCCCGCAAACACCCCAATTCACCATGGAGCTTGATAAATATGTCTCCATGCATCCATGCATGCCTCTATGGGATCCATGCTGCCATGCTGCTAATGACTTTGTTGAGGTGGCTCTGGATTTTGGTGTTGTTTCAGCCCTCACATGCTGAATGATGCCGATAATCCAAAAATATTCAATTAATTATACTATTCCTCACCACAACCCTGCCATCCTCCCCCACACATGCCCGTCTTGCTGCCAGCTGAGGCCAGGGGGTCTCCTGGTGGTTGACAACGTGCTGTGGCATGGTCAGCTGGCTGATCCTCAGGTGAGTTTCCAAGTGATTTCATCAATTCATATGCTGTGTGAAAGTTCTCTAACTCTGGTGATATCAGGTGAAAAGCCGCCAACATGTCAACGGCACTTGAGCCATGCCCATGCCCATGCCCATGCCCATGCACATGCCCATGCCCATGCCCACATCCATGGTCAATGGCACTTGAGCCATGCCCATGCCCATGCCCATGCCCATGCCCATGCCCACATCCATGGTCAATGGCACTTGAGCCATGCCCATGCCCATGGTCAATGTCACTCTTGCTCCTTCTGCCACCTGGCCTCTTGGGGCATGCCCATTGCTCCCTGCTGCTCTCCTCCTTGCTGTTTGGTGCACCTGGCATTTCAATGGCATGTCAAGAAGAAGACTGCATATAACGTGGCTCACAGTCTCAGATCTACATGAGGGGTGCATGATGCTCTTTTCCTTTGTGCTGGTGCATTGGTGGAAGCATTCGTTTACCGTGCATCAAACTCGCACTCTATTGTTTTGCAACTACATTTAATTCTCAGGTGACTGACCGCAAGACGGAATACCTCAGGGCATTCAACAAATTCATTCGTGATGATCCTCGGATCCATCATAGCATTGTATGTGAAATGGAGTGGAAATTTCGTAGCATTTCCTCTGCTTGCTTGTGCCACTTTCTTGTACCATTCTGCATGGTGATTGTGTGTACTTTGTCACATGCCTGATCGACTGCCTTGGTGTTTAAGTAAAATTCCACTCATCTCGCTTCTTGCAACGTGCAGGTGCCTGTTGGAGACGGAGTGGCATTATGTCAAAAATTATAACTCCATTGTGTACACTTTTTTTTTACGAGCTTTAAAAGTGCATTGCACAACTTATCCTACTAAACCACGAGACATTGTGTACTCGACATAATATTTTACCACCCGCCATCCTACCACCCGCCTCATAATATTTTACAACAATTCACGCTTCCATCGTCACCGTTTTTTCCGCCGCCATCCGCGCTGCGCGACACGTCTTGGACGCAGTAGCGGTAAGCTTCTCTCGCCGCAAGTCCCTGAACGTTACTGCTGGGGTCGGCAGCGTGTTTTCTCGCATAGGCCACGCGTAAGGAGGGAGTGGATTGGAAGCCCGGGTAGTGCTTTCCCGTGCTATGCCGGGAGTGTAATAATTTCAGCAGTAACCGCACTCCTGTTTTCGCCATGGGAATCGCTGCGGTGGGGTCGATTGCCGCTACAAGACCGTCCCTTGTCCTGCGATGCCGCAATGCGAGTAGTATACCCGTTAAAAGGCCGTCGCAATCTCTTCTCATTCAACTGCCCACGTGGCGATCATTAGCCTCTCCGCGACCCGAGACATTCGATCCGCCCAACGGACCGCGCAGCCTCTCAGCCAGCCGCGCCCGCCACGAGTTTCGCGACTCACGATTAAGGCTCTTCAAGTTATCACTTACTCCCAACTTACCTCTCTCCCGATTGTCCAATCCAATGCTAAGTAGACTGGTTGCTTCGTCAGGGGTTATGAGTCTCGCGGCGACTGTGCCGTCCACGCAAGAGGCAGAGGTGAGAGCGGAGGCGGTAACCTGTGGAGAAAAAGAGGGAGCTACCGCGGGCGGCGCTGACGGGGAAGACGGAAGTTTCGCGGCGAGGAGAGAAAGGAGTGAGAAAGAGGAGATTGAGGAGAGGGGAAGTGTGGAAGGGACAGTGACAATGGCGGCGTATGATGGACGGGAAGGAGGGGAAGTTAGAGAGGACGCCGAGGGAACAGATGGGGTAGGAGAGGCTGAGGACGGCGATCTGAGGGCCAGGCGCAGGAGCAGACGCGCAGAGAGAAAGGCAAGAAAAGCCCAGTCAACCGAGTCAACGGGGTCAACTCCAAGGGGCATGTCCGAGTGGCGCACGCGCCCGCTCGTCCCGCACGGCGCGTCCCAGTGGCCGCAGATCCAATCCCTGGCCGCCACGTCAGCAGGCGCCAGCCTGTCAATCGACGCGATTTTTGCCGCCCTAGGCCTCCCGCCACTCGCGGACGGCCATCCGCAGCTCCCGGTGCGCGTTCGGCAGCACGTGAACCCCTTAAAGACGTCTCTAATGGCGCCGCCGCCGCCCGTGGACTGGGTGGCAGTGTATGAGGACCCGTCGCTGCCGCTGGTGGTGGACATTGGGTCGGCGAGTGGGCGGCTGGTTTTGGCGCTTGCTGTGAGGGACTGGAGATGGCGCGCGCAGCAACAAGGAAACGAGGGCGAGCAAGGAGAGGAGGGGCAGGAAAAGGAGGAAAGGGAGGAGGGGGACGGGTCAGATGCTAAGGCGGCATCACCACCATCATCACCGGTACTTTCGTCATCACCAGCCACACTACCATTAGCATCAGCAACGTCGTTCCTTCCCGCCCCGCCGCTCAACTTCCTTGGGTTCGAAATCCGCGACAAGCTCGTGCAGCGCGCCGACACGTGGCGCCGCCAGCTGGCGCTGCGCAACGCGCACTTTGTCGTCGCCAACGCCACGTCAGCGCTCGAATCCGTGCTGGCGACTTATCCGGGACCACTAGTATCTGTTTCCATCCTCTGCCCCGACCCGCATTTTAAGAATAAGCACCGGAAGCGACGGGTGGTGCCAGGTGGACATGTTTTTGTGGAGTCTGACGTGGAAGAGGTGGCTGCTGACATGTACCGGCAGTTTGCGGGGTATGGGAGGGGAGGAGGGGAGGGGGATGCTGGGGATGAGAGGGGGAGAGGGAAGAGCGAGGGTGAGGGAGGGGAGAGTGAGAGCGAGGGAGAGGAGAGAGAGAACGAGGGAGAGGAGAGCTCCACATATATCAAAGGTGTGGCAACGGTGAGATTTGTTCCGAGCGACCTTGTTGCAGCAGGAGGAACGGGTGTGGGGGCGGAAGGAGAGGAAAGTGTGTGGCAGGAGCGGGCAGGTGGGGGGAGCGCAGGGGAGGGGAGCGCAGGGGAGGGGAGCGCAGGGGAAGGGAGCGCAGGAGAGGCAATAAGGTGGCTGGATCACAACCCCTTGGGAATGCCGAGTGAGAGGGAGGTGGTGGTGCTGCTGCAGGGCTCACCCATGTACCGCGCTCTCTTTGTTAAGCAATGAGCTTGCTTTGAGTCGAATGAACAAGGCTTATGAGTCAACTTATTACGGTAGTCATCTTGCTGCTGCAGGGCTCTCCCATGTACCGTGCTCTCTTTGTTAAGCAATGAGCTTGCTTTGAGTCGACTTGACTGAAACTGGCTTCTGTTCTGTCGACTCAACAGTCATCTTGCTGCTGCAGGGCTCACCCATGTACCATGCTCTCTTTGTCAAGCAGTAGGCAGCTAGGCTCCTAGCAGCAGGAATCAGGGCCCAAAATTGGTTTAGGCCTACCCTTACAAATCAGGGTTCCAGCCCCTCCTTAGCCCGACCCCTAGGGTAAAAATTTTCGTACCCTGTTTGTAGCAGGGTAAATCAACCTATAGCCTAATTTGAGCAGGGTAGTTTTAGGCTAAGCCTGTTTCGGCTTCTATTTTGTGAGCTAAGTTTTTCATACTAACATAATAAAGTAGCACTCACAACAGGATATGACAGGGCGAATCTCGTGTAAGGGCGAATCTGCTCTTGTGTCAGGGTATTCCGCTGTGATTGGGCAAATTTTCTGCTCTCTGACAGCGCAAAACTGTGATTGGGCGAATTCGCTGTGCTCTGAAAATGCCGTGCCAGGGCGAATTTGCTGTCAGGGCTTTTTGGAAATGTCTGTTTGTGTGAGTGTGGTACAGATCGTCACCACGCGGAATAAGGCCTGATCCGCGGTAAAGAATTTTCGGTATCAGGGTAGTCTATACACCCTACCTTGACACCGTCAGGCTAACCATAAATCCAATCAGTGTAAAAAAAAATGCTCTTTTTGCAGAAGGGTAACTATCGTGCGATCCTGAATTTGGCAGGGTAATCCTGAAAAAGCGGCCGGCCCCCAGGGTAATCAGGGCGTTTTACCCTGATATTTTGGGCCCTGGCAGGAATGCATTGTTTCATTTAGTATTTGCTAATCTCAATATTAAACATCTACCGCACCCAGGGCTCACGATTTTATAAAAAAAAAGCCAAGATTTTGTCCTTTATGCGAATGGGCGGTAAGGAATGCCGAAAACTCCTTGCACATCCCATCTTTTACGAGGATATGTGCATGACTTACGGTTAATTTAGAATTAAACTTTCTTGAAGTGTACCCTGAAGGAAACACAACTTATCAGCGCGATTGAGATTGTGATTTCCAGTGCTGAGGGGGTTCGGAATCTTCGGAATGAAAATCGCTGTCAGAAGATTTGCCCGTACACCCACCACCACTCGCTGTTCCAAGTTGTCACACCTCTCGCTCAGAACCCCGCGTCCATTCATTCCCCTCGCATCCCCCTCCTCGAATCATCTCGCGTCGCGTCGCGCATCCCTCCCCCAGTAGTGCGCGATCAGTCTCCGCGGGTGAGTGAGATCCCAGGTGCAGCTCAATGAATCACTCGAAGAACGGCGTGTTGAGAGATTCAAAGCGGTGAATACAGAGGACTCTACAGTTGGGGGTTCCTGATTCCTGAGTGAACCAACACAATTCGTGCTTGATGGGTGTGTGAGAGAGCCTGGTGGAAAACAATGAAGCTGGCCATTGCGCAAGATACGAGGTGCTGCCGCCCTCATTCGTCCGATGATTTTCCATCACCAGCTCTCATGCCGCCCGCCGGGCGGGTTTGAGAGACAGCGTGCGACGAACTCCACCGCGGCAAACGCACCAGGTCCCGATTTGTTTCACGGGTTCCACGGATGACGTGGCGTCGTTTCCGTCACAAGCACTTACGGGCATAGTCCTAGTGCACCATTCCATCCATGTTCACGGCGAGTCGGTTGAGTGCACGTAAAGTTTGATAGGTCAGTTTCAATGCACCTTCCAAAAGGTACTAAACTGTATTCCTTGCCTGAGTCAATTCGAAATGTCAGAGCAACATTTGTCGACGTGTGATCAGTTTCCTCCGACGCCACGCATCCCAAAAATTCGAACGCCCAAATGGGTTCGAAATCGTGGGATACCTTGGGGCATCGCTCGCTTCGTTACCCCAAGGTTGCCCTCAAGTTGCCAACTGGAAACATTTGGGGATCAACGACACTTGCGAAATTCGTAACCAAATCGTTCACAAAAATTCGACGAATCAGGATGCAGGGATTTTTTAGGTCTCCTCGGGGTAACCTTCCTGCTTCGGAACGAGGCTAATCAGCTGGTTTACTCGAACTGTTTAGCCTCGTTCCGAAGCAAATGAGACCGAAGCTGACCCCAAGTTTACAACAGCATGTTATAACAGCTGGACTGTTAGGACTGTTCCTAATAGCGAGCCTCAGCATATCAGGGAGTTCTTTGATAAGTTTCGTTGGGAGGCAGGCAGAACTGCAGCCTTGTGGGCCTTTGGGCAGGTACTTTACCGCTCTAATTCTTCATTCTCGTCTCGAAGCATCAATCTCACGCCAACTTACCCGCCATGCCTCCCTAGCTCCGCGATTTTCGCTACATGGCGCATAGTTTCCTGACAACTATGCATCCAAGCTTAGAGATTAAGTTCCTTATGTTTTCGTTTATTCACCAGGCTACGTGATGGAACTGTCAGGGTTGCCGAGGTTTAGTTACAAGTATGTAACCTGTTTTTTTTTTAATGTTTGCTTCTTCATGGCAGATTACCGGTGGTACGAGCGATGCGTGATTCTTTCGCCATTATCGCGTTCCGCCATTGAAGTCGCTGTTCAGCTTTAAATGGTGCTCGTCAGGTAAGCACCAACTCTACTCGCCGCCTTCTTTTCGTAGCTTTGCGTGCACCCTTAGGGATCAGGTTCTCATTAATATTTCCCAATAATTTGCCAGCGACGTCATAATACGTTCGGTATTGCCGTGGTTGTCTGATTATTTGTGCTGTGTATGTTGGCGATTGCTTCTTTCTGGCAGATCTCATGTGGCGGGAGCGAAGCGTGTTCTTTCGCCAGCGTCGGGGTTACGGTAGTACAATTCGTTGTTACGTGGGGGTCCAAATATTGCATCTGAGGTAAGCTACAAGTGTGTTTCACCTCGATTGTTGTTAGACGGGTTTGCAAAATAAGCTCCGCTCATTCCGTTATGTATCATGGCGTCATACTGTTTCTACTTATGTTTTTATCATAGCATCGGTTCTATCTGTGTGTCACCCGGTTTTCTCTGGCGTTCTCATTGTCACTGTATTCTTTTCACCGCAATCCCAGGGTCTTGTGCCGTGCGACTGCAGACATTGGTTTACGAGCCTACTAGATGCCGTGACATTCCCCGTGGCAAGCAAATTCTGCGTAGGACGACATCCGTGGCGTGTCAACGATGTTCTCAGTCTATCCGGTTCCCTGATTCATTTGCTCGTTTACTGACATTTCTGTGCGTTGCATTTCTGTGGTGGCAGGAAATATGTGTTAAAGTGATTCTGAAGTGTTTGAAATGTGTTACTATTAATCAGCTGAGTAATGCTTGTGCTTTTGAGTGCCATAATTGCACCCTAAGTCTGACATGTGGTCTGTAAATTGGTCATTAACATAAATCTGTTCATGCCCCCTATGACACAGCGTATACACGATGAGAATGTTTTTGCACCATGTTTTTATTATGGCGCTTCGGTCTAGGGTTTGAATATGTACTGAAATTGTAAACCAAATTACGATCTAGCATAGTTTAGATATAACCATATTATGATATTACGAAAGTGTTAATAGCAAGGATAAGGGGTCGCCTGAGATTCGTTCCAGAAAGATGGGAGCGGTTCCACGCGATGACTTGTCCGCGTGTGTCTAGCGCATTTGGAATCGACGATGCGGCTCGCACCTGATTGGCCGCAGAGGTTGGCTTGCGGTTTCAAATGGGCGTCGTTGCGGATACCTGTGCGTCACCTCTGGGGTAACCTCAGGGTCACCACGAACCTGATACCTCGGTGCGGTAACCTTGAGAAAACCTACACTGAATCCTTTGGGTTACCCACAGGGAGGTATCCCGGAAGTGACCTTGCGGGATCTTTTTGCAACATTTTTTTTTGGGATGCGCTACTAGCATCTTCAAACTGAGATCCAGCTCAGTCCTTCGATAGTCGCAGTCTACCCGAGTTTTCCCCGAGCAGCTCTGGCCATGGCTGACTCAAACGAGCCGTACGTGGTGGTGGGAAGCCAGTACTGCCTGCCGGAAGAGTCGGTGCTTATACTGAAGGAGAAGATGTGGTCGCTGCGTGAGAAGGCCGAGATCCGCGACGGTCAGGAACAACTGGTGTTCAGGACCGAGGAAAAGTACGTAAATTGCGACTACATAGCGACGTTCCAATTTCGCCTACTCAAGGTCCAAAGTTCGCAGAATAAAACACCGTGACGGAGAAAAATCCGTGACCACCCTAATGAGTGGCTCCGCATCCTCGCCGCGTTTCCCAATGCTTATCACCAATGTGGCAGGGCATGGGATATCAAGGAGCGCAAGACCATTTTCAACGCGCAGGATGAGCCCGTTTGCTCCATGATTAGCAAGGTGTTCTCCCTCAGCCACACCACGTACCTCTGCGCGGGCGCCGACGCGGAACCCGACAACGCGTTGCTCACCGCCAAGAGCGTCGTGCTGACCTGGTCACCAATTCTCAATGTGAGTGTCACTGAGTTTTTTCTTCATAGCTTGTGAAAATTAAAAGAGGCGATTGGAGCCGTTCTTTCAAGTAGATTGTAGGGCCAGCCTTGATGCAAACGTTCGCATGGCACAACTTCCATGCTATATCTTGATGCTGCTTACACTGAGCGTATGTACAGTGAGTTAACGTTTCTTTCTCTTATATATTCAAGCTTAGGGTGGTGTAACTTTCTCCTTATCCCATCCGTTTTTGTTTGATTCTTGTTCAGGTTTTTCTGAAAGGGAACACGTCAGATGATGCACCCGACATCATTCTCAAGGGAAATTTCATTCACTACGACTTTACTGTACGTCCTTGCAATGGCTGTCAGCTTGTAGGCCAGCGCGGTCTGTCTTTTTTTCTTAACTGTGTTCGTTACCTGTTTTATTACGTCCACCTGCATCACTGCATTGAGAAATCAGATGCCTGTGTTCTCGTTTTCCAGAATGCTCCGAAAGCTGGGGTTTAAGATAATATGTAGCATGCTTTGGATATGTTAGTATGACGGGTTTCTCTTCTCCCTTCCCTACACTTGCAGATTACCACTTCCAGCGGTCGTCTCTTGGCAACGGTGGACCGTAAGTTACAGGCCAAGGATATTTTCTTGGCGACTCAAACATACGCGGTGCACATCAAGCCCAATGTGGACAGGGCTCTTATTCTGGGCCTTGTTTCCATTGCTGACAATATCTTCGTCAACAGTGAAGATGACAAGTAGGTCTGCTCCTTTACAGCTATTGTAGTCCATAATTGATTTGTGGTAACTGCTGATAAAGGTACTGTTACCGTACCATACCGCAATTGCCTGGATACCGTAGTTGATAAAGACTGATCTAAAATCATTTATTGGCAGCTTATCCTTGTAACAGATAAATTTTAAATGGGAACCTCCTAATATTGTTTTGGGGGCTTGGCCTGGTTTGATTATTGTCAAAGAATTCAGTGCTTACCTTTGTTGTGAGATTCTGTTTTCGGTAAAACGTTTTGTTTCTTTAGCTGATTATCGCTGTGTTGCCTTGGGAGTGACGCCACGTGGCTTTTCTATTGGCCGTCCGATTTTCATCAATCGCCGATTTCCCCTCACCGAGTTCTGTTCATTCACCTCCGGACCGCACCGCACTCACTGATCAGGAAAAACACTGCCACCTCCGAATTGTTTTCGCACGGTACAGAGGCTGTGCCTCCGATGTTGCCTAGGATCCAGTCCACATTCAGATAAGCGTTTTTAGCACACTAGCAGATAAGCGCCAATCGGGACAACTTCAGCTGCAATCCAATTTAGCCAGCGCGGTTCGCAAATGGGATCCCTAACAGTCCGCCTGGAAGAAGCTGATGGGTCCTAATCTGCCCGCGGTCAGAACAAAATAAACCCCATCTGGATGGCATGCGATTAGGGGAGCCCCAACCCTAAACACGTGGAGCCCCAACCCTAAACACGAACAGCCGCATAGTTCTGCCCGAAAAGATTGCATTTGCAAACCCGCACTGGGGAAATGTGATCGCAGTTCGAATTGTCCGGCGCCAATCCCGCGCCAATGACTAGCCGTTCACGGCATCGCGTGTACCGTACATGCCCGCGCGTTGTCTGCTTTGCTTCCCGCCGCCTGCCTTCCTGGCACTTTCTCCTTTGTCACGAGACACACGCGACAATGATGTCCGATCATACTCTCGCGCGTGAAACCAGCAAGCCTTTCATTCATAACTCTCGAAAGCTTCCGCGTCGCGAGTAGTTAGGCTGCACATTATGATGTCTACGTGGAGTTCCTGATCTCAGTACAATAGCTTCCTGGCAGTTCTATTCACTATTCGCTGATATCGGTTGTTTTGTCTGTACTTTGTCTGATTCTTATATCCGAGCCCCCGTAAGAACGTCGTCACAGCGATTATTATCCCGAACTGGTGTAATGTTATATCCGAGCCTCAGCCTTTCCTGTAATCTACTTCTTCCGCGCCTCGACCGAGCCTTAGCCGAGGTTACCGACAGGCCGCGTTCTTATATCAGCGGCAACATGTCCGCATCGATTCCCCCCCATTACGTCGCCACGCCCCTCGCCAGTACCACGCCGATCGTCGCCACTGGCGCGCCTGTCGCTACGGTCGCAACTGGCACGCAAGTCGCCAATCCTGTCGCCAATCCCGTCGCCAATGTCCCCATCCCGTCGCCCACACCAACCGTCGGGCCGACGGAGCCGTACGTGGTGGTGGGGCTTCAGTACTGCCTCCCGTACGAGACGGTGCTTATATTGAAGGAGAAAATGTGGTCGCTACACGACAAAGCGGACGTATATGACACGCAAGGCCAGCTCTTTTTCAAGACCAAGGACAAGTAACTCTCTTGAGTCGACTCAGAAGTCAACCACTCTAAAGTTCGTTGTTGTTTTCATTTCTTGGTGGAGGGTGAGGGTAAGGAGGAGGGGAAATGGAAGGAGGGGGTGGGAAGGGGAAAAGGAGGGGGGGAGGAAAGGGGAGGACGGTGTGAGAAAGAAAGAGTTTTTTCACGTGCAATTTTGTGGTCAAAGCTGGGCAGTTGCTGGTAACCTCAATCACCGTTGAGCATTCTCAACAGCATCTGTGACCGAGGTTGACTCACAGAGAAGAAACCTTCCAAAAACAGTCACGTCACACGGGATGTAACAGCCCTCTCTTTTTCTCTGTGTGTGTGTGTTCGCGTGTGTGTTCTCTTTCTCTGTTTTCCACTCTCTATGCCTTTTTTCTTTTGTTTCTTTTCTCGCACGCCTTCACGCAAGGCGTTCTACTGCCTGCCTTCTCGCCTGCCTGTGGCGGGACCGCCCAGGACGAGGCGGTCTACTCGCAGACGAGCAAGGCCTTCTCCCTGCTTTCCCCCCTCCTCTCCCCCCCACATTCGCGCAGGGCGTTCTCGTGGCGCAACCGCAAGACAATCTTCAACGCCCAGGACGAGCCGGTGTGCTCGCTGACCAGCAAGGCCTTGTCGCTGCACGACGAGACCTACCTGTGCCCGGGCGCCAGCGTGGATAAACGTGACGCCCTGCTCACTGCCCGAAGCAAGTTCTTCTCCTGGACTCCCATCCTCAATGTGAGTGCGTGAGCGAATGGGTGAGTGAGGGAGGAAAGGAGGCAGTGAGGGAGTGAGGGAGTGAATGAGTGAGTGAGGGAGAGTGAGCGAGCGCAAGGCCATCTTTCAAGCTCCAGGACGAGGTGGGACGCTCTCCTCACTGCCCGGAGCAAGTTCTTGTCCTGGAAACCCGTCCTCAATGTGAGTGCGGGAGTGAGCATCGAGCATCAGTCCATGAGAGGATCTTGAGGCGCTTAACACACGCTGCTCAGTTTCCAACCATGAGCAAGTTTTTAACCTGAACACCCATTCCTATTGCGAGTGCATGAGGGAGGGAGAGAGTGACTGGGTGAGGAATGAAGGAGCAGCGAGCGAGCCAGGAGAAAATCCCTTTACTGCACTCCTCTTTAATGTGAGTGAAGGGGGGAAGGAGGGACAGAGAGAGTGTGGAGTGAGAGTGAGCTGTGTGGTGGGGTAGGGAGTGAGCATTGAGCAGGGTTTTCAAAGCGCTGCTCACTTCCAGGAGCAAGCTCTTTTCCTGGTTCTTCATTCTTAATGTGATTGCGCGAGTGAGTGAGAGAGTGACGGAGCGAGGGAGTGAGTTAATTTGTGAGTGAGTGAGTGCGCGAGGAGTGAGCTATCACTGAGAGAGAGAGTGAGTGAGGGAGTGAGCAGGGTGTCAGTCCGTGAAAGGTGATTTGAGGCATCTCAAAAGAGCTGGTGACTGGCAGAGCGTGTTTCTTTCCCTGGAAACCTGTTCCCAGGGCAAGCGAACGAGTCGGTGAACAAGCGAGCGAAAGAGTGAGAGAATGAGTGAGCGAGGGAGGGAACGAAACGCCAGAGTCTGGCACTACTCCAGGTTTTGAGTGGCCAAAATGTGTCACTTCTCCAGGTTTTGAGTGGCCAAAATATGTCACTTCTCCAGAACCAGGTGCTAAGCTGCAGGTTTTGTTCTGAACGCGTATCCTTTCCGTTCTTCTTGCCATGCTGTTCCACTTCTCCGCAGATCTTTCTGAAAGGGAATTCAGTTGACAACAAGCCAGACATCGTTCTCAAAGGCGACTTTTTTCAGCACGAGTTCACTGTATGTATTCAGGTAGCCAGTTTCCCGTGTGTGCGTGAGAATCTTTAAGCCAAGATAGACACTCAAACATGCGAGCTGAGATCTTTGATCCCCTGTCCCCCGCCCTGGACATTCTTTCTTCGATTCCCCCACCTGTATCACAGTACATGTGATGTGCTGTGCACATGTATCACAGTGATTGTCCCTAACTTTTCTTTGGCACAGGGAAGCAACCCTACTGTGCTGGGTACTCCCATCTCAGTCAGAATAGCTGGGCCTGCCCCTATGCTTGCTCCATTGATCGGGTCAACATCGGCAGCAGGCTTGAGTTGATGCAGGTGGATAGGAAAGGGACGTGCAGACAAGTGGAAAACTGTATGGGCATGCCACAGGCTCTCACTGTGCCAGGCATACCCAGCTGAATATCTCCAACCGACCTTCTCCTCCCTTTTCCCCCATGCTTGTTCTTTGCTCAGATCATGAGAAGCAGCGGGCTCATGTTGGTGCAGGTAGAGAGGGACATCTGGTCGGCCAGGGAGTTGATGCATGAAGCCCAACATGCCTGATGCATCTCCGCTTCTCCGCTTCTCCATGTGCTTGCTCTATTACTGAGATCGCGACAAGTAGCGGGCTTATGCTGGCGCAGTGGAGAGCGTCTAGAGCGTCCGGCACAGGTGCTTCAAACCCAGTGGATCCTTCTCCTGCGTTGTCCCCGTGCCTGCGCTGTTGCTCAGATCATGGCAAGCAGCGGGCTGGAGTTGGTGGAGGTGGAGAGGGACATCTGGTCTCAGGAAGTGGGCAGTGTGTGAGAACCGATATACCTGATGCCTCTTCTCCCCTGTTCCTGTCCTTTCCATGCTGATACATCTTTGTTACTCAGATCATGGCAAGCAGCGGGCTGGAGTTGGTGGAGGTGGAGAGGGACGTCTGGTCTGGTCTGCCAGAGATTGGTTCTTCAAGCTCAATATGCCTGTCGCCTCTCTTTCCCTCTCCGTCTTCCTGTGCTTACTCTCTGTTCTCAGATCACCACGAGCAGTGGACTTCTGTTGGCGCAGGTGGAGAAGGACATCTGGTCTGCCAGGGAGTGGGCAACGTGTGAACCCCAACACACCTGATGCCTCTTCACCCCTGTTCCTGTCCTTTCCATGCTGCTGATACCTTTTTGTTGTTTCTCAGATCACCACAAGCAGCGGGCTTCTGACGGCACAGGTGGAGCGGGACATTTGGTCTGTCAGGGATTCGGTGCAGAAGCTCATCATGCCCTGATGCCTTTCCGTCCCTGTTCCTGTGGCTGTCCCCTTGCTTGCTCTATTGCTCACATTGCTGAGATCACCACAAGCAGCGGGCTTCTGCTGGCGCAGGTGGAGAGGGACATCTGGTCTGTGAGGGATTTTCTGAGCACGCACACTTATGCTGTGCGCATCAAGCCAAACGTTGATATGCTCTTCCTCCCCTGTACCTGTGCTTTCTTTGTTGCTCAGATCACCTCGAGCAGCGGGCTTCTGTTGGCGCAGGTGGAGAGGGATATCTGGTCCGTGAGGGATTTTCTGAGCACGCACACGTATGCTGTGCGCATCAAGCCAAACGTTGATATGGCTCTGATTTTAGCGCTCGTTGCCATGGCGGACACCATCTTTGTTAATAAGGAGAACGATGATCATGACTAGCTGCTGAGACTGCTTCTGGGTATGGTATGGTAATGCCTGAATTAACAGCTCTATTACTACGATGCCTCTCAAATGTGATGTGTAAGGTGATACGGTAACTGTGAATGCATGTATATTATGTATTTATTCAAGTACCTGATGTGTTGTAGAATGCACCTCAATCAATCCAAATCTTGCCAATGAATGAAAGGCTGCCTAGTTGGAGTACGACTTGTCGGTTTGCTTATTTGAAACGCATCTTGATGAACTGACATACGACAACCAGGAGAAGTTGCTTAGATCCTTGAAGGTTGCCTTGCAGGGACGTCAGATGGGGTATGGCACTTTTCAGACCTGATTTCTTTTGTTCCTCCGAACCTGTAGTAGAAATATAAATATGCACTCCTATTTTGTAACAATTGGTCCTCTCAGTCAAACCCCTCCAACCAAACTGGCGTGTGCGTTTGGTTTGGTCAGCAACGTCAATAGACAACAGGTGGTTTGGGGTACTAAGGAATTAATGACGTGGCGCCTGCTTTGCCAGCGCCTAACAGATACACCTAGTTTTCGCGCCATTTTGTTACGTGTCTGTTACTCTCGCCAGCGCGGGGTAGAAATGGCCATCTTCAGCCTTTCATTCCCCAGATTTTCGTTCTGATTCTAAGCAGCGCAAGCCCCAGATACTGCCAGACACCTTCCTTCCACCACCGTTTGCGCGTAGTACGATCGTATAGCGTCGATAGCAATATCATTTACCTATTTATCCTATCTGAAACAAGCGTTGGAAACCCCTCATTGCCTTGCATATCCGTTCTTCCATCCTTCCGGCCTTGACCATTCCCGCTTTCATCAATGGACGAGTCGCGCAACCGCTGCGTATCACCGCAGCCGCCGGCGCCTCCCGTCTCGATCCGTCGCAATCCGTTAGATCGAACGGCAGCCACTGAGTCGAATCATACGGCTGCTTGCATCGCGTGTTCGCCGTGCGACATTGATCGGCTGCCAGATGTCATCTTGCTGAGCATCATCCGCGTCATCAGTAGCAGCAGCAGCGGCAGCAGCAGCGGCAGCAGCAGCGGCAGCAGCAGCGCCCCTTCTTTGACCACCAGCAGCCACAACAGCGAAGCCGTTGATGGACCGGCGACGACAGGCATCGATGCAAATGGCAGTACTACTAGCAGCCGCGGCTCTGCATCAACAGAGCCGTGCCCTAACGCCATGACCATCACCACCCGCGATCGCTGGGGCTATAAGCAACAGCAGCAGCTGCCATGTAAAGACCCCACATGCTCCTGCCGCAAGGCAAATAGCACCGCCGTCTCCCCCACCCCGCCGCTGCTCACGTGCGCGCTAGTCTGCCGCCGCTGGCTGCGCCTCTCTGAGAGTCTCCCCCGCGCCATCACTGTTTCCCCGGGCCTGCTATTACACCCCCGCTCCCTCCTGCGTACGCTCTCCGCCTTCCCCCACCCGCGCTCCCTCACGCTACACGGGGACTCTTGCCGAAGCATCAGCAGCAGCAGCAGAGGGACCGTCAGTGATTGGCTCATCGCTCGCCTGGCAGCGCTGCTGCAGCTGACGTCACTGTCGCTCGTTGGCGTTGCGGCAATCCCGAGGCTCTCCCCCTTGGCGCCCTCCCTACTGTGCTTGGAAATCCGTGGCGCAGGGGAGGGGGTGACGTGTCTCCCTGGAAAATCTCTTGGGCAGCTGACGTGTCTGCAGGAGCTGGTTTTGAGGGACTGCTTGGCGCTGCGGCAGCTTCCAGAGTCGCTTGCCCTGCTGCCGTCCCTGCAGCGCATTCGTGTAGAAAGATGCTATTCGGTGACGCTTGATGCTTGGAGAACGCCCAGGGATGGCTGTGGGTTGGCAGCTGTGCGTTTTCAGGGGGAGGATGGGGAACGTGGTGTGGGGGAAGGGCGAAGGAATGGCATTGAATCTGACGATGCTCATAACGTGGTTGTTTCCATGGTGTCGGGGGGTGAGAGTGAAGGGGGGGATGTGGGGGCAAGCTATGGGCAGCAAGTGCCGCCTCAGTGGAGAAGGCGACAGCGGCGCCGAGGTAAGAAGCTCCACCGCTGCCAAGAGAAGCAGCAGCAGCAGCAGCAGTCGTCACAGGTTGACAGTCAGAGTAAGCAGGGTGGTGGTGTCCCCACTGTCACGGCAGCAGTACAGCCGCGGCACCCCCTCTTCTCTTCCAAACTGCAACACCTCGAGCTTGCTGACGTGTCAGCCCTTCAGCACCTGCCACGTGGCATCCTCCAGCACCACTCGCTCACGCGCCTCGTGCTCGACGGCTACTCAGGCTCCTCCTTTTCGGCTGGTTGCAGCAGTGCCTCCGAGTCAACCGAGTCAACCAGGTCAATGCTCGAACCTCCCATTCGCATGCCCAGCCTGCAACATCTGGTGCTGCGCAATCTTCCAAAACTTTCCCACCTGCCCGAATGCCTTTCCCTGCCCGCCGCCTGCCCGTCCCTCACCATCCTTTCCATCGAGAACTGCCCGTGCTTCTCTTCCCTCCTCACTCCTCCTCCCAGCCTGCACACCTTAAAGCTTCGCAATCTTCCCAACCTGACTGTCATCTGCGATCCACTGCGTACCCACTGCCCATCGCTCTCTGTACTCGTTATAGAGCGATGCACCAACCTCCATACCGTGCCGTGCTTCCCGTCGCGCAGCCTGTCCCACGTGGAGATTCGCCACCTCCCAAACCTCACAGCACTCACAGGCCCTTCCTCACTCCTCAACCCCTCCTCCTCCTCCTCCTCCTCCTCCTCCTCCTCCTCCTCCTCCTCCTCCTCCTCCTCCTCCTCCTCCTCCTCCTCCTCCTCCTCCTCCCCTCGCCTCTCCATCCTCGCGATTGACAACTGCCCTCTCCTTGCTACAATCGCTATAAATGCTATAAATGGTACAAACGCGATACATGCTATAAGTGCTACATATGCTACAAATGCTATAAATGCTATGAATACTATAAATGCCTATTATGCTGTAAATGCCTCTGCACAAGTCCCTTTCGCCTTCAGATTTCCAAGCCTGAGGGAGCTATGGCTGCACGACCTTCCTCTGCTGCACGAGCTACCGCCCTCCTTCTCCTGCCTCTCCTCCCTGCAGCGTCTGGTCATCACGCGCTGCCATGGGCTCAACTCACTCCCTGGCTGCCTGCCGGAGCTCCCCTTGCTGTGCGATCTCGCCCTCGTAGTAAACCACAATCTAACTATCCCGATAGATTTCCTGTCGCAGCTGCACTCGGTGCGTCGCCTGGTGGTGCACCGGGGGCGCGAGAACAAGAACAACATCATCGCGCATCGGGGGAGGGTGAGGCCACAGTTTGCGCTGCCCCCGCGGGTGCAAGAGCTTCACACGGATGACTTTACCAGCGAGGTGCTGCGCTTGCATGAGCTGGAGACACTGGAGGTGACTGACGGGTTCTTCTACAAATTTAGTATCGATGAGGTTCAGGTTATGGATGAAATGATTAACGTTGGCAGAGAAGGTGGAAGGAGGGGTGCAGAGGAAGAGGAGGGCAATGGCGGCTTTATTGAAGGCAGCAGCAGCGAGATAACTGGCATTAGCAGCGGCAGCAGCAGCAGCAGCAGCAGCAGCAGCAGCAGCAGAAGTAAGCATGGCAGCAAGCAGCAGCTTCTGCCTTGCTTGCAACGGCTGTCTCTTGTTAACTGCCATGTGGGCCCTCGCTTCCCTCCTTGGATGCGCCACCTCACGTCCTTGCATCACCTCTCCCTCTCCCACATCCTCCAATCTGATAGATTTGCCTGCCCTGTGGAGCAAGCCAGAGAGCCTGACCAACTGGAACGCCTGCGCAGAGCTTATGTGCAGGAGGAGGAGCATTGGGAGAATCTCACGTCACTGCAGCGGGTTGAGAGGTGCGCGTGCTGCCCCATATCTGTACCTTCGGAGTGGCAGCGTCTTGTGTGTGTGGTAGATGCAGTAGTGGCAAAGGCATCAGCTTGCGGATGTGATGTGATTCGGGGAGAGGCAGCAGGAGATGATGTGGTTCGACGAGCAGGGTTTGTGCTTGGAAACATGGGATGAACTATTGGTCGACTGTATGATCAACGCATTGAGCATGCAATGTAACTGATACTGGCCTGAGACAACTCAACACAAGACCCTTGCATTCTGAAATCGAGCATTTAAACACATTCGTCACAAAGAACGCAAGCAGAGCGCACTAAAGGAAAAGTGTGACCTTACCGTAGATAACCCTTACAGAAACCTCTGAGCCTCACTGCCTCCACAACGGATCGCCCCTCCAGCACCACACTGCACCTTCACTCACCGCTCCATCGCCGCTCACAGCTGTGCACCAATGACCTTGAAACTGGTTTGCCACCTCCATGGCCTGCCTTGCCACGTGGCGCTCTGGGATTTGCCGCACAGGGACAGGCAATGGAGTGAGCTTGCTTGACAGGGCACCCTGATTCCTGAACTGTATACTGCCACGAACACGAGCTACTGTAAGTCAGGAGACATGGGCCCATTGTTACGTATCTTAGTCAAACTGCTAACATAATCTCCACACCTGTAATTAGGAACTTTGTAAGAATGTGGTGTTAAAAAAAAAGGGGGGGGGGGGGGGGGGTGTTAAACAAGTGGGGTCTAGCCCTTCACAAACAAACTACCCCTGTATGGTATGCTCTACTGTAGCACCACCACGCGTCTTTTCGTCAGCAACTTCTCTGTCCGAGAGCGCACGATGGCGAGCTTGTCGGTCTAAGAATCTTCTACTTCAGTACCAATAGTTTTTCTCATCTGCAACTTCTCCGTCCGAGAGCACACGATGGAGAGCTTGTCGCTGACATGAAAAGGATCCGAATAGAATGCCGGATCCGAGGGGTACCCCTTCTGCAGGCGACAAAGAGGAGGGGGTGGGGGGGAGAGCAGAGGCAGGAGGGATGCAGCACATGAGAGAGAGCTTGTCGGTGACTTGAAAGGCAGGGAGGCAGCAGGGGGGGGAGCACATGGGATGCATGCGGGGAGAGACATTGTTGGATCGGACTAATACCCTTTTTGCTACTCAGGCGGCAGCAGGGGGGGGCAGCCAGGCAGCAGGGGGGGGCAAAGGGGTTGCGGGGAGGGTTTTCCCTCCCTGCTGCCACCCGAGTGGCAGAACGGGTATCCATCGTTGGTTCGGAAGGATACCCTTTCTGCCACTCGGGTGGCAGCGAGTTGACTTTTAAGCCGACTCAAAAATCAATTGGGTATCCATTGTTGGTTAGGAAGGATACCCTTTCTGCCATTCGGGTGGCAGCAGGGAGGGAGACAGCAAACCTTTCAGCAGGCAGATAAGACGGAAACCAGGCACACGGGAAATAATGGGAAATATCGAAATGTATCCAGCGTGGTGAAAAGGTTTACAGACAGGTGGGGAGAGTGGATGGTCTGTAGATGGGTATGTAGGCGAGATACTTGGAGTGGTGGGGAAGGGAGCAAAGAAGAATAGGAGCGAGGGAGCAAAGGAGCAAGGGAGCTAAACAGCAAGAGAGCAAGGTATTTTTGAGAATTCTAGAAAGCAGAGTGCATACAGCAGCCAGCGCAGCGAAAGTGTCCTCTCGTTCCGTGTACTCTCGAACGACCAAAGGCATGCCCTGCTTCCCCTCCTCATCAAAGGCATGCCCTGCTTCCCCTCCTCATCAAAGGCATGCCCTGCTTCCCCTCCTCATCAAAGGCATGCCCTGCTTCCCCTCCTCATCCCGTCTTCTATCTTGCCCATCCCGGCCCATATCTCGCTTCTCCTCCTTTTCCTGCTTCTGCTGCTGCTGCTGTGTGCGATGCGAGTGTGATACTGCAGCTGCAGCAGAAACAGCAGCAGCAGCAGCATCTGCTGCAGCGGTTTGGGCTGCTGTTGCAGCGGCGGCTGCAAGGGTGGGGGAAGCTGAGGTTGGAGGGTGAGGGCAGGCAAGGGCGGATGGCGGAGAGAAAGGGTTCACGGGAGCAGGTGTGGTGGTGAAGGCGCAGAAGAAGCGCGAGTCGCGCAGGCGCATGAGAGCCCCGTCCACTCGCAGCTTAGGGGAGGGGGGAGGGGAGGAGAAGGGGGAGAAGAAAGAGGGGGAGAGGCTCTTGTGTGAGATGGTGACGTCAGATGTGAGATGGTGACATCAGATGTGAGATGGTGACGTCAGATGTGAGATGGTGACGTCAGATGTGAGATGGTGACGTCAGATGTGAGATGGTGACGTCAGATGTGAGATGGTGACGTCAGATGTGAGATGGTGACGTCAGATGGGAGATGTGTGGGAGATGGTGACGTCAGATGGGAGATGCTGACGTCAGATGGGAGATGTGTGGGAGATGGTGACGTCAGATGGGAGATGGTGACGTCAGATGAAGGACTCACCCAGAAGCGGAGGAGGATGAACCAGCAGGTTGGCATGACCCTCTGCGTTCAGGGACAGGGGCATTGACAAACAATTGAAAGAAGGCAAAAGAAGGAAATAAAAATATAATGAAAGGGAATGAGGAGAGTGAGGGATGCAGATACCATTGTGTACACACACATGCAATTCAAGAGAATGGCTTATCTACATAAGTTTATGCATGCAAATGTGTATATATACATATATGCATACACACATATACACATACCCATAGTTCAAGTCATTGAGGTGTCTCGGAACGGAAACAGCCCAGCAGCTGCTGCATATTTAGTTTTAAAAAAACCTATGGGGGTGAATATACAGCACCCCTTAGCCAATCTTACTAAGGGGAGGAGAGGGGTCGGGGGAGTGGGAGAGGGTGGAAGAGCAGGGTGGGTGGGTGGTACTCACGGCTCTGGCAGTGAGGATGGGTGCTTATTTAGTTATTAGATTCTTCTGGGGCCGAATATACAGCACCCCGTAGCCAATCTTTCAAAGGGGAGAAGGGTTGGGGGAGCGGGGTGGGGAGGGTGGAAGAGCAGGGTGGGTGGTACTCACGGCTCTGGCAGTGAGGAGGGAGATGCCACTGTCAGCCAACTCGTCCTCGTATAGCACCACCTGGTGGGATGGGAGTTGCATAGGAGGTTGGGTGTGGCGGTATGGGCAGAGGGAGATATAGAGAGCGGTTGAGAGAGGTGCGGAGGAAGGGAAGGAGTGGCCAGGGGTCGACTGTAATGCCACTGTCGGCCAACTCATCCTCATATAGCACCAACTGGTGGGATGCGATGGGATGGGAGGTAGATTCGGTGGGAGGTTGGGTGTGGCAGTATGAGCAGACAAGGAGAGCACGCAAAGGAACCCTTGAGTCGACTCAACTCAGATGCCACTGTCAGCCGACTCGTCCGCATATAGCACCACCTGGCGGGATGCGATGGGATGGGAGGTAGAAGCGCAAGGGAAGGTGTGGCAGACAGAGAGATTTAGAAATTTCTATCAGCTGCAACCACCCCATCACTCCATCACTATTCCGCACCCAACCATTCTCTGCTGCCATCACCCAATGTGCGAGTTGTGTGCGAACAATGCTGGCCAAACCAACAACATTTCCCCGGCTACCATCACCGCATCCCAAACTTTATCACCGCATCCCAAACTTTATCACGGCATCCCAAACTTTATCACCGCATCCCAAACTTTATCACCGCATCCCAAACTTTATCACCGCATCCCAAACTTTATCACCGCATCCCAAACTTTATCACCGCATCCCAAACTTTATCACGGCATCCCAAACTTTATCACCGCATCCCAAACTTTATCACCGCATCCCAAACTTTATCACCGCATCCCAAACTTTATCACCGCATCCCAAACTTTATCACCGCATCCCAAACTCTATCACCGCATCCCAAACTTTATCACTGCATCCCAAACTTAATCACCGCATCCCAAACTTTATCACCGCATCCCAAACTTTATCACTGCATCCCAAACTTTATCACCGCATCCCAAACTTTATCACCGCATCCCATCCATAAGTACCTCATTGGAGAAGAAGATCGGGTCGCGGCGCAGCAGCATCATCACCACATCCCAACCATCATCACCACATCCCAACCATCATCACCACATCCCAACCATCATCACCACATCCCAACCATCATCACCATCATCACCACATCCCAACCATCATCACCACATCCCAACCATCATCACCACATCCCAACCATCATCACCACATCCCAACCATCATCACCACATCCCAACCATCATCACCACATCCCAACCATCATCACCACATCCCAACCATCATCACCACATCCCAACCATCATCACCACATCCCAACCATCATCACCACATCCCAACCATCATCACCACATCCCAACCATCATCACCACATCCCAACCATCATCACCACATCCCAACCATCATCACCACATCCCAACCATCATCACCACATCCCAACCATCATCACCACATCCCAACCATCATCACCACATCCCAACCATCATCACCACATCCCAACCATCATCACCACATCCCAACCATCATCACCACATCCCAACCATCATCACCACATCCCAACCATCATCACCACATCCCAACCATCATCACCACATCCCAACCATCATCACCACATCCCAACCATCATCACCACATCCCAACCATCATCACCACATCCCAACCATCATCACCACATCCCAACCATCATCACCACATCCCAACCATCATCACCACATCCCAACCATCATCACCACATCCCAACCATCATCACCACATCCCAACCATCATCACCACATCCCAACCATCATCACCACATCCCAACCATCATCACCACATCCCAACCATCATCACCACATCCCAACCATCATCACCACATCCCAACCATCATCACCACATCCCAACCATCATCACCACATCCCAACCATCATCACCACATCCCAACCATCATCACCACATCCCAACCATCATCACCACATCCCAACCATCATCACCACATCCCAACCATCATCACCACATCCCAACCATCATCACCACATCCCAACCATCATCACCACATCCCAACCATCATCACCACATCCCAACCATCATCACCACATCCCAACCATCATCACCACATCCCAACCATCATCACCACATCCCAACCATCATCACCACATCCCAACCATCCCATCATCACCACATCCCAACCATCATCACCACATCCCAACCATCATCACCACATCCCAACCATCATCACCACATCCCAACCATCATCACCACATCCCAACCATCATCACCACATCCCAACCATCATCACCACATCCAACCATCATCACCACATCCCACCATCATCACCACATCCCAACCATCATCACCACATCCAACCATCATCACCACATCCCAACCATCATCACCACATCCCAACCATCATCACCACATCCCAACCATCATCACCACATCCCAACCATCATCACCACATCCCAACCATCATCACCACATCCCAACCATCATCACCACATCCCAACCATCATCACCACATCCCAACCATCATCACCACATCCCAACCATCATCACCACATCCCAACCATCATCACCACATCCCAACCATCATCACCACATCCCAACCATCATCACCACATCCCAACCATCATCACCACATCCCAACCATCATCACCACATCCCAACCATCATCACCACATCCCAACCATCATCACCACATCCCAACCATCATCACCACATCCCAACCATCATCACCACATCCCAACCATCATCACCACATCCCAACCATCATCACCACATCCCAACCATCATCACCACATCCCAACCATCATCACCACATCCCAACCATCATCACCACATCCCAACCATCATCACCACATCCCAACCATCATCACCACATCCCAACCATCATCACCACATCCCAACCATCATCACCACATCCCAACCATCATCACCACATCCCAACCATCATCACCACATCCCAACCATCATCACCACATCCCAACCATCATCACCACATCCCAACCATCATCACCACATCCCAACCATCATCACCACATCCCAACCATCATCACCACATCCCAACCATCATCACCACATCCCAACCATCATCACCACATCCCAACCATCATCACCACATCCCAACCATCATCACCACATCCCAACCATCATCACCACATCCCAACCATCATCACCACATCCCAACCATCATCACCACATCCCAACCATCATCACCACATCCCAACCATCATCACCACATCCCAACCATCATCACCACATCCCAACCATCATCACCACATCCCAACCATCATCACCACATCCCAACCATCATCACCACATCCCAACCATCATCACCACATCCCAACCATCATCACCACATCCCAACCATCATCACCACATCCCAACCATCATCACCACATCCCAACCATCATCACCACATCCCAACCATCATCACCACATCCCAACCATCATCACCACATCCCAACCATCATCACCACATCCCAACCATCATCACCACATCCCAACCATCATCACCACATCCCAACCATCATCACCACATCCCAACCATCATCACCACATCCCAACCATCATCACCACATCCCAACCATCATCACCACATCCCAACCATCATCACCACATCCCAACCATCATCACCACATCCCAACCATCATCACCACATCCCAACCATCATCACCACATCCCAACCATCATCACCACATCCCAACCATCATCACCACATCCCAACCATCATCACCACATCCCAACCATCATCACCACATCCCAACCATCATCACCACATCCCAACCATCATCACCACATCCCAACCATCATCACCACATCCCAACCATCATCACCACATCCCAACCATCATCACCACATCCCAACCATCATCACCACATCCCAACCATCATCACCACATCCCAACAATCATCACCACATCCCAACAATCATCACCACATCCCAACAATCATCACCACATCCCAACCATCATCACCACATCCCAACCATCATCACCACATCCCAACCATCATCACCACATCCCAACCATCATCACCACATCCCAACCATCATCATCACATCCCAACCATCATCACCACATCCCAACCATCAGTACCTCATCGGAGAAGAAGATGGGGTCGCGGCGTTGCAGCAAGGCCCAGTCAATGCCCTCGCCCTCCCCACACGCCACCCACTCCGCCTCCCACTCTCCTCCTCCCCCTGCTCCCCTCCCTTCCTTTTCTCCCCCACTCCCCTTGTTCTCTTCCCCCTCCGCCCCTCTTTGACTCCGTTTCTCCACACTCCCTCCTTCTCCCCCACCCCCTTCCCCTCCAACCCCAACACCACCAGCACCAAAAGCATCAGATTGAGGCCAAACGGCTTGCACTTCCCTCACCACCTGTGCTTTCTCCCCTGCTCCCTCCACCTCTCCCTCCCTCATGCCCTCTGCTCTCACTCTCGCCCCTCTCCCTTCTTCCCCCTCTCCTCCTGCTCCAACAGCTAGACCTCTGTCGGCGTTGCTGATGCTGATGTCAGCAACACATGATGCGAGGGGTGCGCTGACATCATCAGGTGCGTGGGTGCTGGTGGTGGTGGTGGTGCTGCTGCTGCTGCTGCTGCTGTTGCTGTTGCTGCTGCCGGCCATGCTGCTCTCAGGTGAAAGGGAAGCACTGCTACTGGTAATAATGGAGCCGCGGTAGGGGGTGGTGAAGGTGTAGTCATAATCGAGAATGATATCCGTGGATGGGCAGCTGGAGGGTGGGATGGGATGGGATGGGGTGGGATAAAGTGGGAGAGAAGACAAAGCCACAAAGCAAGGGGCGTAAGGAGCAGTAGGGCGTGGTGAAGGTGCAGTCATAGTCAAGTATGATATCCGTGGATGGGCAGCTGGAGGGTGGGATGGGGTGGGATGGGGTGGGATGGGATGGGATGGGATGGGATGGGATGGGATGGGATGGGATGGGATGGGATGGGATGGGATGGGATGGGATGGGATGGGATGGGATGGGATGGGATGGGATGGGATGGGATGGAGTGGGGTGGGGCGAGACATGGGACAAGGAAAGCACATGAGCTGCAGTAGGGGGTGGTGAAGGTGTAGTCATAATCGAGAATGATAGGCAGCTGGAGGGTGGGATGGGATGGGATGGGGTGGGATAAAGTGGGAGAGAAGACAAAGCCACAAAGCAAGGGGCGTAAGGAGCAGTAGGGCGTGGTGAAGGTGCAGTCATAGTCAAGTATGATATCCGTGGATGGGATGGGGTGGGATGGGGTGGGATGGGGTGGGATGGGATGGGATGGGATGGGATGGGATGGGATGGGATGGGATGGGATGGGATGGGATGGGATGGGATGGGATGGGATGGAGTGGGGTGGGGCGAGACATGGGACAAGGAAAGCACATGAGCTGCAGTAGGGGGTGGTGAAGGTGTAGTCATAATCGAGAATGATATCCGTGGATGGGCAGCTGGAGGGTGGGATGGGATGGGATGGGGTGGGATAAAGTGGGAGAGAAGACAAAGCCACAAAGCAAGGGGCGTAAGGAGCAGTAGGGCGTGGTGAAGGTGCAGTCATAGTCAAGTATGATATCCGTGGATGGGCAGCTGGAGGGTGGGATGGGGTGGGATGGGGTGGGATGGGATGGGATGGGATGGGATGGGATGGGATGGAGTGGGGTGGGGCGAGACATGGGACAAGGAAAGCACATGAGCTGCAGTAGGGGGTGGTGAAGGTGCAGTCATAATCCAAAATGATATCTGTGGATGGGCAGCTTGAGGGTAGGATGGGATGGGGTGGGGTGGGGTGGGATGGGATGGGGTGGGGTAGGATGCGGTGAGACAACGGACACAGAAAGCACATGAGCTGCAGTAGGGGGTGGTGAAGGTGCAGTCATAATCCAAAATCATATCTGTGGATGGAAACTTGAGGGTGGAATGGGGAGAGAGGTAGGGTGGGGTGGGATGGGGTGGGGTGGGGTGGCAGGGCAGCGCATCAAAAGAATCAAAGAGCTGAAAACACGAAGAAGAAAGAACAAACCTCACTTCCCTTCTCCCCTTCCCATCCCCCCCCCCTCATCTTCTCTTACCCCATGCAGCAGCAGCAGGCACATTCACCAACGCAAGCCACCCCTCCTCCACACCTTCAGCGCCCCCCACCCTTGCATCTTTCCATAACCCCACTTACGTATGCTTAAACCCTGGCCCCTCTCCCCCAAAACCCCCCAACACACCCCCTTCCCCCCTCACTTTCTATTCCCCCATGCAGCAGCAGCAGGCACCTTCACAGGCGGGAGCCGCCCCTCCATCCCCTCAGCACCTCTAATGCTCCCACCTCTCCATACCCCTCCATACTTGCTTAAATTCTGGCCTCTCTTACCCCCCCTCCTCCCCCCCCCCCCCCCCCCACCTTCTCTTCCCCATGCGGCAACAGCAGGCACTTTCACTAGTGGAATCTTGCCCTCCTTCCACTCCCTCAGCGCCTCCCCTCTCCAATCTGCACCCCACACGCCCGTGCCCAGGTGCTCCGCGGGCAGGCGGCTCTAATATACCCCAAAAGCCTCCTCATCTTCGCTTTCCCCACGCAGCAGCAGCAGCAGCAGGCAATTTGACAGGCGGAAGCTTTGCCTCCTTCCACCCCTCCAGCGCCCCCAGCAGCACGCCCACGCCCGTGCCTAAGTGCTCTGCGCGCAGGCACCCAGTAAACCCCATAATAGACCCACTCACCTTCTTTTCCCCCATGCAGCAGCAGCAGGCAATTTGACAGGCGGAAGCTTTGCCTCCTTCCACCCCTCCAGCGCCCCCAGCTGCACGCCCACGCCCGTGCCTAAGTGCTCTGCGCGCAGGCACCCAGTAAACCCCATAGGCCCACTCACCTTCTTTTCCCCCATGCAGCAGCAGCAGCAGGCCCTTTGACAGGCGGAAGCTTCGCCTCCTTCCACCCTCTCAGCGCCTCAAACGCCCCCAATTGCACGCCCACGCCCGTTCCCAGGTGCTGCGCGCGCAGGCAGCTCAAATTAACCCCATAAGTCTCCTCACCTTCTCTTCCCCCACGCGGCAGCAGCAGGCACCTTGACAGGGGGCAGCCGCGCCTCCTTCCACCCTCTCAGCGCCTCTAGCGCCCCCAGCTGCACGCCCACGCCCGTGCCTAGGTGCTCCGCGCGCAGACAGCTCTTCCCAAACACCATCTCGGGAAGCCACTGCGAGGAGAGAGCCGCCTGCCACCTGGGGGAGTTAGGGGTGTCGGAGGGAGGGGTTTGAGGGTGTTTGGTAGGGTCAATGTGGTGGACGTATGGGTGACCTCCCAACCGCACACCCACGTGTGTGCTCTCGTGCTCCGCGCGCAGGCAGCTCCGCCCAAAGACCATCTCGGGGAGGCACTGCGAGGAGAGGGTCTTTTGCCACCTGGGGGAGAGGAGAGGAATTGGCGAGACGTGTGGGGGAAAAGGCGTGTGAGTGAGAGTGAGGCAAAAGCACCTCTAGTGCCCCAAAATGCACGCCCACGCCCGTGCCCAGGTGCTCCGCGCGCAGGCAGCTGCGACCAAAGACCATCTCGGGGAGCCACTGCGAGGAGAGAGCCGCCTTACACCTGGGGGAGACGGGGAGATGGGAGGGTTGGGTGCGGAGGCAGTGGAAGAAGGGGAGTGGAGAGGTGGGAGCTGGGAGGGGGGAGGCGAAGAGGGGTAAAACCCAGCAACTATTCGGATTCTGTTTTTTTTTTTTCTGAAATCGGAATTGGCTGGTGTGGGCCCTGTATGCGGTGATTGCGAATCCGCGTATCCGCGGCATTGTATGTTCGCATCGAAAGGTGTTGCGAGCGGACACTGAAATGGGCCCAAGGGGTCTTTCCCCTGAAATGGGCTACAGGTTTCGTCCAGGGGGTGTATGGGCGTTGGGATTTGATGCGTTGCCCGCGGATCTTGGGCCTACGTGTGTAAGGCGAATTATATACTCCCGCGACTCACGCTTCCGTCTCTTCAGCGGTGAGAATCGGTTCGTGGCGGCACTCGATGCGCCACCCGCCGATTTCGATTCCGCGCCGCCGCGGCTCCTCCAGCAGCTTTCCGCCAAACGCCGCCACCGCCGCGGCACTCATCGGCGGAACGCTCATGGCGCACGGTGACGGTCGGAGCGCGCAAGGCGCGGGAAGCAGGGCGCAGCGCGTAGGGAGTGGCAGGCAGCGTGAACTGCGAGCAAGGAGAATCGAATTTCACCCCGCTGGACTAAGATATGATCACAGAAGGTCGTGCGATGATCAGCGACGGAGAAGGAGAGTCGGACGATGACAGAGGTTGACGGCGACAATGAGACGTAACTGCCAAACAGCTAGAGCCTAGATAGGTCGATGAGATCGCATCGCATATGGATTTGCGACACAGGGATTTACGACACTTTAGTTTCACAGACCAACTTCAAAGTTTGCGGAATAACCAAATTCGAGCAGGGCAATCTTCATCTGCAGCAAACAGTATCTGGCAACCTCGTTTCATTCTGAAGCTGCTTTCGAATCTGAGATTGAAGCTGGAATGTGTCCTCGAACTGAACTTGCTGTAAGTCTCGTAATCAGAGCGTAACAGTGACGAATTGCGGCAAAACAATTCGAAATCTCTGAATCTTTTTAAAGGCGGTTCCCACACAAACTCAGCGGGCGTGTCAGCAGGTTTGGCAGTATTGTCCCCAGTCGTGTCAGAAAAAGTTTCACTCGACGAGTCGACCACTCTGCCTGTCGTAGGTGATACACCGTCACATCTTTTGTATCAGCCTGACCCATTTTACAAGTACGGCTCATTTTTCCCTGCATCGCGTATCCAACTCCACCTGCGGGAGCGAGATGTTACTGACATGCAACTGACATGTTACCGGATCTGATCTGCAGCTTGTTTTGCACGCGTGGCGCGCCCAAGCCGCCAGCTCCTGGCCGTTAAGACGCAAATACGCGCGAACTCTATTCCGTCATTTTAGCCGGAGCCTAGAATCAGGGCTTCGTGAGATCCGAGTCAAGAGTCGAGACAAAGCTCGCTTCATAGAGAGTCGACAGTTGGTTGAAGTTTTCTCTAGCCTCTTCGTCGTTTTCATCCCCGTTATTGGCTTGGCGCGATGAAGGTGGTGGCGTTAGTGAGCGGGGGGAAGGACAGCTGTTTCAACATGATGGAGTGTACGCGGTATGGACATGAGGTGCGTGGCGTACGCGATATAGACACGGGATAACGGAGCGACGTCGAAAGGACGATGCATTAGCATGCCATCCCCATCCCACCATAATGTCGCGCCTCGCCATGATCGCTGTAACCTTATCAACACTATCGGGGTGCACAAACCCAACGTAACTTCGGTTCAAATTCCTCTTCAAGAGGCGTGTCGGAGCATGGCTTGCCCCTCCTTACCCCACATTCCGATATTAAACCCCCACAAGCGCGATCGGGGGCAGGGACATGCGAAGCTAGACTTACAACCCGAACCCTTCAAGTTGTTCCTCTGAACCTTCAAATCTCAAACCCTCAACCTTGAACCCCCAACTTTTCCTTGGGCTTCTGACTCTAATCCCGAGACTCATTCCACATGATGCTCGATTTTGTTGCATGGCATGGCATGGGAGGGGATGGCGGATGGTCTGGTCTGGCGTGGTTTGCATCGGATGTGATGGCATGGGTTGGGATGGCATGACATGCGATGACATGGCATGGCAACAGGTGGTGGCATTGGCGAATCTGCTGCCATCAGATGATGAAACGGACGAGCTGGACAGTTTCATGTTCCAAACCGTACGTTGCACTCGGTGTTGTATTTAAGCAAAAAGTAGGCGCATGTAAGTGGAGTGGAACCCACATCACGGACTTATATTTCACGTTCTTCTCACTTGTGCGTGCTCCCTCTGTGATGCATGCGGTGCAACCCACACATGCATCTGCCAAGGCACAGGTACAAACAGGAGTTCCACTGGCACTCCAAGCCGCCCACCCATGCGGTGCACTTCACACATGCATGTGCATGTACACGCACTCACAGGAATGGCATGCCAGCATGGCACTCGCACTCCAAAGGCGACCCATGCCATGCATTCATCCGTCATATTATGCATGCCTCATGCTCTGTGCCTTGCATTGCAGCATAACTCTCTCTTGTGATCGCTGCAGCCCTGTCAGTTGGCAGCTTCGGGTGGATCTTCAGGTGTTTTCAGCAGAGATGGAGCATGTGCGTCACGCATGTCACATGCAATTCGTCGCTCTCCCTTGCTGTGCCATATCCTTGCGCCCCTTCTCCCCTGTATCGCATCACACCACGACCTGCCCTGTCTGCTGATATTCAGGTGGTCTCTCAGGTGATTCTATTCTACGCCATGCTGCATCTAATCCTCCCCCCTCCCTGTATCCCACCACGGCTGCCCGATCTGACAATTTCAGGTGGATTAACAGGTAATTGCAACACACACACCTTTTGAGTCGATTTAAGGTCCTCCCAATCCCCCGCCCCCCTCCCTGTATCCCACCACCCCTGCCCCCTCTGTTGGTATCAGGTGGGGCATCAGGTGATTGCAGCATACGCCACGTGCATGGGGTTGCCTCTCTTCCGCCGCCGCATTAAAGGCTTCTCCAAGTACGCTCGCCCTTCCCTGCCCTCCATATCTCCCCTCAACCTCTCCCTTTCCCTCCCTCCCACACCCCTCCCCTCTCTCTTCCGCCGCCACATCATAGGCTCCTCCAAGTATGCGCGCCCCGCCCTCCCTCCCTTTCTCATCTCACCACATCCCTCCCTCTCCCTCCCACACCCCTCCCTCCTCTCTTCCGCCGCCGCATCAAAGGCCCTTTCCAAGTATGCGCGCCCCGCCCCGCCCTGCCCTCCCTCCCTCTCACCCCTCCCTTTTCTCCAAGTATGCTCGTTCGCCCTGGCCTCAAGGCCCTCTCCCAACCTCTCCCAACCTCTCCCAACCCCTCGCTTCCTTCTCATCCAAGTATGATCGTTACCCCTGCCCCACCCCTCTCCCCGCCCGCCCGGCATCTAACAATGAGGTACGGCGCTACAGCAGGGGAGGATATGCACTGCTTCGCCTTCCCTTGTCGCCCCACACCCCAACCCAACCTCAACCCCCTCTACACCGCTTTTATTCCCTCGCCCTCACACTAACCCCCAAGGCACCTAGCAATGAGGTACAGCACAACAGCAGGAGACGAGGAGGAGGACATGGAGGTGCTGCTGCTCCCCTTTTCACCCTCACCCCATCTGTCCTCCCTACTCTCTCGCCCCACCCGCACCCCCACATTACACGTCTCTCCGCCGGGCATCTGGCCATGCGGTACCATCCGACAGCAGGCCACGAGGGGAGGACATGGAGGTGCTGCTGCTTCCCTTGTCACCTCATTCCATCCTTGCCCTCATCCGCCCTCAACCCCTCCCTCATATGACTCGCCAGGCACCTGGCAATGAGGTACAGCACGACAGCAGGGGATGAGGTGGAGGGCATGGAGGTGCTGCTGCCTCCCTTCCTCGTCGCACACCCCACACTCACCACGTTGTTACCCCGCCCACGCCCCATGCTTCCACCCCCCACTCCCTACCCGCCAGGCACCTGGCCATGAGGTACAGCACGACAGCAGGGGATGAGGTGGAGGGCATGGAGGTGCTGCTGCCTCCCTTCCTCGTCGCACACCCCACACTCACCACGTTGTTACCCCGCCCACGCCCCATGCTTCCACCCCCCACTCCCTACCCGCCAGGCACCTGGCCATGAGGTACAGCACGACAGCAGGGGATGAGGTGGAGGGCATGGAGGTGCTGCTGCCTCCCTTCCTCGTCGCGCACCCCACACTCACCACGTTGTTAACCCGCCCACGCCCCATGCTTCCACCCCCCACTCCCTACCCGCCAGGCACCTGGCCATGAGGTACAGCACGACAGCAGGGGATGAGGTGGAGGGCATGGAGGTGCTGCTGCCTCCCTTCCTCGTCGCACACCCCACACTCACCACGTTGTTACCCCGCCCACGCCCCATGCTTCCACCCCCCACTCCCTACCCGCCAGGCACCTGGCCATGAGGTACAGCACGACAGCAGGGGATGAGGTGGAGGGCATGGAGGTGCTGCTGCCTCCCTTCCTCGTCGCACACCCCACACTCACCACGTTGTTACCCCGCCCACGCCCCATGCTTCCACCCCCCACTCCCTACCCGCCAGGCACCTGGCCATGAGGTACAGCACGACAGCAGGGGATGAGGTGGAGGGCATGGAGGTGCTGCTGCCTCCCTTCCTCGTCGCACACCCCACACTCACCACGTTGTTACCCCGCCCACGCCCCATGCTTCCACCCCCCACTCCCTACCCGCCAGGCACCTGGCCATGAGGTACAGCACGACAGCAGGGGATGAGGTGGAGGGCATGGAGGTGCTGCTGCCTCCCTTCCTCGTCGCACACCCCACACTCACCACGTTGTTACCCCGCCCACGCCCCATGCTTCCACCCCCCACTCCCTACCCGCCAGGCACCTGGCCATGAGGTACAGCACGACAGCAGGGGATGAGGTGGAGGGCATGGAGGTGCTGCTGCCTCCCTTCCTCGTCGCACACCCCACACTCACCACGTTGTTACCCCGCCCACGCCCCATGCTTCCACCCCCCACTCCCTACCCGCCAGGCACCTGGCCATGAGGTACAGCACGACAGCAGGGGATGAGGTGGAGGGCATGGAGGTGCTGCTGCCTCCCTTCCTCGTCGCGCACCCCACACTCACCACGTTGTTAACCCGCCCACGCCCCATGCTTCCACCCCCCACTCCCTACCCGCCAGGCACCTGGCCATGAGGTACAGCACGACAGCAGGGGATGAGGTGGAGGGCATGGAGGTGCTGCTGCCTCCCTTCCTCGTCGCACACCCCACACTCACCACGTTGTTACCCCGCCCACGCCCCATGCTTCCACCCCCCACTCCCTACCCGCCAGGCACCTGGCCATGAGGTACAGCACGACAGCAGGGGATGAGGTGGAGGGCATGGAGGTGCTGCTGCCTCCCTTCCTCGTCGCACACCCCACACTCACCACGTTGTTACCCCGCCCACGCCCCATGCTTCCACCCCCCACTCCCTACCCGCCAGGCACCTGGCCATGAGGTACAGCACGACAGCAGGGGATGAGGTGGAGGGCATGGAGGTGCTGCTGCCTCCCTTCCTCGTCGCACACCCCACACTCACCACGTTGTTACCCCGCCCACGCCCCATGCTTCCACCCCCCACTCCCTACCCGCCAGGCACCTGGCCATGAGGTACAGCACGACAGCAGGGGATGAGGTGGAGGGCATGGAGGTGCTGCTGCCTCCCTTCCTCGTCGCACACCCCACACTCACCACGTTGTTACCCCGCCCACGCCCCATGCTTCCACCCCCCACTCCCTACCCGCCAGGCACCTGGCCATGAGGTACAGCACGACAGCAGGGGATGAGGTGGAGGGCATGGAGGTGCTGCTGCCTCCCTTCCTCGTCGCACACCCCACACTCACCACGTTGTTACCCCGCCCACGCCCCATGCTTCCACCCCCCACTCCCTACCCGCCAGGCACCTGGCCATGA